TTGGGCCGAAAATTCAAAGCTCTCGTGACCCATGACGGTGTCTTCTCGACTCTAAACCAATACACATCCGACGAACTATTCTTCCCCCATCACGATTTCGAAGGTACAATCTGGGACAACCCTGAAGGATACGCGAAATGGAATCCCGCCAGCCACGTCGCTAATTGGGCAACCCCTCATCTAATCATCCACAACGATTTAGACTATCGATTGCCCATTTCAGAGGGACTTGCTCCATTCAACGTGTTGCAAACCCGTGGAGTAGAAAGTAGATTCTTGACATTTCCGGATGAAAATCATGTAAGTTTTTTTCTCCCCCTGAGATGCTCGGTTGTTGTAGTATAACGCTAATGTTGTGTGATCTTAGTGGGTATTGAAACCTGAAAATTCAAGAGTCTGGCATAAGGAGGTTTTCGACTGGATTAACAAATACAGTGGCATTACCAAGGAGAATGAAGAGTTGCGAAAGAGTATTGAGAAATTGAGTGTAAATTAGTTTTCAGGTCAGGTGGGGTCGTGAATATATGGAAGCAATGAAGGCAAGATTGATTTTCGAAAGGGATGGAGGGATGATTGGCACATGAATATAATGAATAGCAAGGCATGGACACAAGGAACAAAGTATAACTTTACGAAGAGCAAGCAATATGGAAAATGGATCTTATTCTTTTAACCTTCGGGATGGTATCTATATCATTTATGCATGATTTTCTTTCAGGTCCACAGATCCAACATGTACACCACTAACCAATCCACACATTACGTGGCGACACTACCGCATATGGCGCCGCATCGCCATTAATTTACATCCTTTCAGAAACACATCTATTTCTTTCCCTTTTTCCTCCATTCCTTCTCCCGTTCATAAGCCTTCGACTCCTTTCCTTCCTCGCCCTGGATCTCCGCAATAAGTCTCTTCATCTTCTTCTCATGCGCCGCATCCTTCTCCTTCTTCTGCCTCAAGCTCTCTCTCGCGATGAAGTTGCTATCCTTGCGCAATTCACGCATAGCACCCTTCCTCTCCTTCTTATGCTCAGCCTTTAACTTAGCAGTTTCAGCGCGCTCACGATCTGGATCATAGTGCTTATCTGGATTGTAGGAGTCTTCGAATTTGGGTATGGAGGTTTTGATGGCGAGGGGCTTGTGGTGGTGGAGTTCGAGAGGGCGACGGGCAAGGTGCGCTAGTTGTAACATAGTTTGGAATTTGGCAATGGATTTGCGGATGAGGGTCTAGACGGCTGGTTAGTATTTAAATGTACGAATATTGGCTGTATGACTTACTTGAGTATTTTCTGGAAGCTTTGACCTGCAAGATTTGCTTCCCAAATGTTTAAGGATCGTCAAAGCTGGTTCAAAGACTTCAGTGAAGGCTGATTTTTCAGTCCATAAATCAGCACTTGCGTTCAAGATTTTGATGTTTGCCTCTAACAGAGCGACCTTTAAGGACTCTTCGTCGTCGGCCGAAAGCTCCTGTGGGATACAGTCATGGAATTCAATTTGTCTGTCTGATGCTGAGGCCTTTTCTATCCTCACAGAGCTCTTTGGCTCATGATATGGAAAGCTCCCTGGGATCTTAGCCAACTTGGTAGGTGCCAAAGCACATAAAGTATTCTCGATGAAGCCGGCTACCTCTGGAACGTATCTCTTCGATAATCGTTGATATTGCAAGCACAAAGTGCAAAGATATGCCCCCGTGGCATAATTGGATAGATCCTGAGGAATCTTTTGACCAAGATAGCGTCCCATGGTCAAGATTGCAGGAGTGACTACTTGATGGAAATGATCTGAGGTTGGGAATATCGTTCCAATCGCCGTGAGAACTACAAGATCACCAGCCTTCAAAGCCAAAGCTCGTGATTGATTGATCTCGTCGAGATGTCGTCTGAAGGCGTTGGCAATCTCAAGAGGGAAAGTTTTGGCGAGAGAATGAATGTGGCGGATAATATTCTCTAGTACGGAGAAAGGAGGTCGCTGAGCTTGGTTTGCGAGGTACGAGATATGAGAGACGAGAGAGACAGAGAAGCTTCCTAGCTTTACTTTGTTTTCCGAGTTGAGTTTAGGGTGGTACAGAGCTCTGATACGCTGTACAACCGTTGGCAGATCTAATAGGGCGATGCCTTTGGTAATCTCGAGAAGTTCTTCGTGCGATTGTGGACACGGAAAGGTATAAGCAAGGTCACCATTAACACCATTTTTGGCAGGCAGCTCTACCTCGGGAAGAGGGGCGTTTGCACCAGTCAAGAATTCCGGTCTTTTGGCCTCCTCTTCAGTAAGCAGACCTTCAAGAAACTCGTCATCTTCGTTATTAGATTCTTCGTCCTCTCCATCAGATTCGCCCTCCGACTCGTCAATGTCTGAGCCACTTGCTACGAGATCGTCATCTATAACGAAATCGTCCTCATCATCGGCACCTAATTCCGCAGCACTAGGTCGTGTTTTGATACCTTCTCCCAGTCCATAATCTTCTTCCTCTTCCTCTTCCTCTTCGTCATCTGCCCTTCGTGCGCGGTTATCTTCTTCGTCGTCACTTTCTTCTGCCACACCCTCCATACGACGCAATCTCTTCTCTTCTAATTCTCGCAATCTTCTTGATTCCTTCTCCATCTTCTCGTCCTCGGTTTTCGATCTTTCGGTAGGTTGGGATCGTTTGTCTTGCGCCATCTGCCTCATTCGAATATCATATTCCTTTTCCAGCTTCGCTCTGTCGCCGCCGTTCATCAATGCTATCCGCTCCGGATTCATGCCAGAGATATCCTCTGGTGCCGCAGCTGGTGCTGGTAGCGGTTTGTGAGCCATGCCGCGAAGAAGTTCATGAATGCTCGACATATCCTTGTCCAATTCTTCTCGCAAGTCCTCATCATCATCCTTGGCTGCTTGACGCTCATATTTGTGCATTTTAGATTTAGCGATAAGTTCCTTCATAACCTCCTGCTTCGATTTTTTTCGTTCTGGCAAAGCTGTTCCCTCTTCATCCTCATCTGACCCTTCGGAATTTGAGCCTCGACGGCGCTTTCGTGCTTGTCGCTCCTCGTCGGACTCGTGGTCCTCAGCGTCCGACAACTCCAATCCCTCCTCATCGAAATCATCACGGATTGCAGGACCATCTAAAGAAAGCGATTGTCCCATATGCGTAAGCTCACCAGAGAATTCGTCGTCTTCAAGATCGAATGCCGAGCTATTCTTGTGGCCCCTCTGCTTCTCCTGCGTAAAACGTTCGAGCATTTTATCTTCGGGAGCCATTGAGGGGTCATTTTCTCCGAAACGCTTATCTATTATACCTCCTACTCGGTTTCTACTTTGCATTTCAACAAGTAAAGTTTTACGGCGCTGGTAGAACATTAGCAGATGTCAAACATCCTTTCGTACGAACTTACATTCTCTTCCGCAAGACCCCTCGCAACACCTGGTTTCTTGATACCCTTTGAAATCCTTCCGCCAAGTGTTTTGTTACTTGTAACTTCGAATTTGGGTGCTTTAGCCTGCTTGATTTCGAACGGGTTGAATTGGTCTCGAATTCCATTGAGCGCGACACTTCTCTTGATTTTCTTCTCCTTATTTGCGCCATTCTGTGCATTTTGTTTCTTTTGCTTCTTCGATTGCTGAGGACCAACAATTCCTTGCTCTCGGAGAGAGGCTTTCAGCCTCTTGAGCTGGGATGGCGGCATCTTGATGGGATGGCAGTGAAAGTCAAGAGCTCGTGGTAAGTATTATTTCACTACTCGAACTTTTTTTCGACATGACTTTTTTTTATCGCTTATCGTCAATTGCCTGTGGCTAGTGTTCTGAGATCGATGTGGCTTTAACGGCTAAACTATTGATCCGACTCGGCTCTTATTTATCAACGTCTGACAAAGCTGAGGTTTATTGACACTGAAATAGCCATACTGATGGAAAACAAACAGAAAACCATGGAGTGGTGTTACAACTCTATATGTAACATTTCTGGGTCTAATGGCTGCTGTTTGTATTTTGATCTCTTACGATTATCTAGTCGAAATATCCTAACTTCAACCCGGAATCCGACCTATGACTTCTCTATACAAAATGGCTGTGAAGCCAGATACACCGATGGACCTAATGAACCGTAATTCTATTGGGATATTCAAAAGCATTCGATTGCTGGGTTTCACAAAAAGTATTGAACGATGCCTAATTGTCAAACTCGAACCAAAGCATCAAGGACCAATAGAGATGCTCATGTACTATCCATGTCATTCGTTGAGCAGAATATTACTACAAGTTCGAATTGCTTTCTAGATCGAGAATTTTACCGAATCAAAAGCAAGTGATGTGCAAGGTGACCTTAGCAGTAGCATATTGTGATGAGAGGAGGCAGAAGTTCTTTGATCATGCACGAGATGCATGAAGAATTCTCAGGCGTCTAATGTGAACCAGTGACCCACCCGCGTTGTATCCACTACTGCGTCTATTTTGAAAAGATGCTCATGTTTCGGTAATCATTCAATAGATTGAGACCCAAGAGTTAAGATGCACTGTTTGTTCTGATTTGAAATCCATTGCTAAGTGATTGGTTTATGCCTAGATGGGCATACTAATAATCTAATATACAAGAAAGTGATAGTAACATAATACACATAAACAAAAAATCCTTCATAAATCATAGTCTGTCTACATCCCATAACCCATGCCCCGAAGTGTATGTGTGTATACACAATGCTGGATATCTAAACATTGGGTATATAGATGAAAATGGAGAGGCTCTGCCGTCCCAGCTGTCGTTAGACAGAACGAATCGAATAGAAATGCTAAAAGAGCGTAAAGAAAATAAAACCATCCCCTGCCATGAGACCAAGCCATCTAGTTTCATCCCATCTATCTTAATCCTTATAAGAAAATCGTTATAATGTGCTTTAAAAACGTGATTGTAGGAAATGTAAAAGGTCCGTGTTTTCAGTCGTGAGCCACTTAAGGCGTTGATGGCTTTGAAAGCACGTTGAAATCGAAGATATCACCACTCATCAACACCTGCAACTAGAACCCTAGAAACCTCCTACCCAAACATTGAAATTTGTAAGACCGCCGACCACCGAACTCTCCGCCGTAATCTCAGTTCCGCTCTCAGATTTGACCGTCTGCGAATTTCGGACAATAGAGAAGGTCACATTACCAGTCTGTCCTGAAAATCCATGGCTCCAACTGTTCAAGCCAGCTTTTCCAGAGTAACTCGTCACTGATGATTCGCCAATCTGCACGTGCACATCGGCAGCTGATTGCAATAATGCTGTGAAAAATACTTTGTCTTCACAGAGAGTGTTGGGACTGTATTCTATCTGTCCTTGATTCGGATTATTGCCAAGAACACCTCCTGTTAAACCAGCAGCGGCGGGAGATGTGCGGTACCAGTATTGCATAGAGTCGGTAGTGGCATTAGATTTGATGCCTTTATACTGAGATATGTAGTATGGCAAGAGGGTGAGAAGGTTAGAATGCGGCATATTTTTGACGTATTTGAGGGAGTTTGCTGGCACCTCCTCGTCATGTAACAGGGGCGCTATGTATGACGACTCTCCCCAATCGTTCCATGTTACAATTCTGTGGAATGAGTCAGTTTTAATGTTTAGGGGGCACTTAAGAGTAGAAAGCCCAGAGGGGCGGACGAGAATACGTACTCGACGAATTGAGGCTGAACTTCGAGAACTTGTTGCCAGCGTTCAGACCAAAGATTGTCACCTCTCCACATCCATGCAATTGGGTTTGCGTCGCTGTGGAAGAACCAAGGGGAGACACCCATCATGTAAGCCTTGCTACCCAAAGTATTTTTCCAAGCAAGGTCGTTTACAGTCGTCATGTTTACTGGTCCAGCTGGCCACATGTCCCAACTAAAACCACCCTGAACATTGTTGAGTTGTGCGCTGAACCCATCAGGGCCCAAGCTCGTGTAATCAGGGACGAAGTAGATAGAGCCAGCAGTACTTTGAACAGCGCTCCGGATGGGGCCACTGGGAGTCCAATCTCCGGCGTTGTTCACTCCCTCAAAAGTGGATACAAAGATTTGTCCGTTGTACTTGAAGTATGCAGAACTGACCCCATATTTGTTGAGATATGATGCAACCGAGGACGAGCCTGTAGCCGGCCAGGGTCCGCTTCCACCAAGATAGTCGAAAGAGAAGAATAGTTTGAAACTACTGCCGAGATTTGTAGCAGCACTGAAGGCATTTTCAACCTGTGTTGGGATGTTTGAGTCACCAGTGGCAATGTTGAGTGTAAAGGCATCGATGCCTGCAGCCTGAGCAGTTTTTATATCGGTTGCCCAGTCGTCGGTAGTATGGTGAGCAGTATTGCCCATCACAACGTGTGCAAATACATACTTCTGGGCTGAAACCACAGAGGCAGTCAGCGTTGATGCCAAAAGAAGGAGTGAGAATCGCATGATGAAAAGATCAAATCGACTGAGAGATTGAAATCGACTGAGAAATTGGAATCGATTGAGAGATTGAAATCGACGGGGAGTATCAAATCGGAAAGAAAACCAGTTCAACCGAAAGAGAAATGAAAAATAAAGGAGTGTGGTAATTCTGAATACAGAAAATCTACGTTGAAGGAATGATAAGTAGAGGTTTACATACAGCAGAGCACCAGGCTACAACTATATATTGAACTTTGTATAAAAGGAAGAGAGAAGTTGAGAAACTATTCTTTTCGACGCAGCTGGCAGCCATCGCATCCTATTTCACTTAATTCAGTGCGGGTACTACTTTGTACTCCTTTGTAGGACCTGCAGGATTTACGCCAGGGGTACCTTAAAATTGTTTGATTGTTAGAAATCATGACATGGGATATGAAAAGTTGAAACAAGGCGGCGACCTATGAAATCCTTCAAGCCAACTGATCTCCCCGCGGCTGTTTGTTCGCTCAGGGGTAATTGTATGATCTTGGCCTCTGATTGGGTTTCGGTCCTTCTGCAGGTCCATGCCAATCGTCCCGCGTTTCCAAACAAGGAAAAAAGTTTGCTATCAGATCGCGGCTAGAGGCGTCTGATCTTTGGCTACTGTGGAGTCCAATGTGATAAGCTTGACAAGCGTTTGAAAAATGTACGGATGAACGATAATTTGATCTGCAACGGCAAAAAAGGGAGAAGTTCAGATGAACAAACGGTAGAGTATGAGTAACACAAAATGGAACGAAACACAACATCGTGTGTGTACTCTCCGATATCTTATCCCGTGCCAATCTAGGTACTGGGTATACGATACAGTTATGTCACTTACCAGGTTGTACTAGTCTTTCATCGGATTTGGCTTCCTGTTCACTGCCACCATCATCCCTTCGACTTGAGTAATTTGTCATAAAGAGTTGACGGAAACAATTTCTTGATGATGGCGCCATTCTGCTTATTTGTTTATTCGCGGTCAGGGTCAGGGTCTATCTTTGTTTGAATGTACGAGTAATAAGCTTGGGAAAAGAAAATCTTAAAATACCTACTTGTTGGTCTCTACCAGCGAGTCCTGGTCTGACCTGGTACTGCAACAGGGCTGATAACATAAAAGTATTGCTAATAATCGATTAAGGTTGGTCGCGCGGTACAATTATCCCTTACGCAAATATATCGGTACAAGAGAGTTGTGCGGAATACACTCAAGTTCAAGGACTTTCGGCGATTCAGTCAGCGTCGAGCCTTATCGTTATAAGATAATTCAAAGTTTGGTTGTCAACGAACACCTTGCATAACAATACCCAATCTTCTGTTCTTTACCAAATTAGGCTAATCAAGTCTCAATACGAAACTACCGGACTCTGGCGGCTCGTTGCGTCCTTGGACCCCGTAGAAGATATCCTACCGCCAGAACAATCGGTTTTACCCAATCAGAAATGTAAAATGTACTCCAGTAGTTCGACCTCAAGTGCAGCTAGCTAGGGTAGATTAGCCGGCCAAGGTTCAGCTCTTGGATTGGACAGCTGTGCTTCCGGAATATCAGAAATCTATACTGATGAGTTCACGATGCCTTGTAGGTTTGTGATACTATTCTCGGTCTGCATCTATTCTCTATCCTCGGGCGACATCACGTTTTGGGCATTAGCATGTTGTGATCGTGGTGATTTCGGTCTTCTCTAAAATTGGGGAAACCTCGGTATAGATCTCGGTATGCTAATAAGCTAACATCCGGTCCCGGACTCCCGGAGAAGCCTTCGAACTCTTTTCAGAATGTAATGTCCAATTTAGTAACTATTCGGCACTCGAATGTCATACTCAAACTTTGTGGTCATATTGACCATGGTGTCTGCTAAAGTAGCAAATGGCCAAAAGGAAAAGGCTTGGCATGAATCTGAAAAGTTTCAGGCAAGCACTTAAATTTTGTCGAACTAGTGCTCAGCATTGCCTGCAGCAATGACTCGGGTTCACGGCGGTAACTTGGCGAATTATCATGACTTTATATTGGAATTGTGGGATCATCAATGATGTGCTCTGCTCATCTCTCTTATTATCACCATTGCTGCGTACAATATAAAGCAATTCATAGTACTGTCTCTCGTTGTTCCGTTCAAAATCCTACACTAAACAATTCTCAATGTGTCTCTAATTGGGACTAGATCTCTTTTTTGATGGACTTATGGGCCCCAAGCTGTACCTTGGATTAGAAATTGGCAAGCCAAAAATTTCGGTCCTATCTATCCAGCAGACATGACGATCGATAATCTAGCTGATAGCTAGGGCTATTTGACCACCAAGATCTAAATTTGTGCAAACTCAGCTAACGAGAGTCTTCATGCCGCCGTCTAAAACCATGCTCCTCCTAAATCTACCCATGACAGAGTAGTATTTGTCTCCAAACGTATCATTTTTCTTTTTTACAATTACCGTACCCATGCTGTTGGACCTGCTCTTGCTCCGAACTCGCGTACGAGAAGAGCAATAACAATAGCTCTGAAAATGGAAGGTGCTGAGCCAATTTCCTGCCGTGAAATTTCAAGACAATCGGGAGATTTGTAACATAAATGGAGGATTCTGGAACTGTAAATTTCCGAATGATCTCGTAGCTTCCTTCGATTTCTGTAAGCATGCCTCCATGTTTTATACATCTTTCTATCTAGCGACTAAGAATCAATTATCTTTGTTCTATTTCCAGTATTAGCATCAATATAAATATCTCAATCTGACATCCCAACTCCACGCACCAAATACGTACCCTTACGATGATCAAACTCGCTTATCCCTTACTCACTGTTACTCATCAACGTAAACAGCAAGCATTGCATCCTTCAAACAATGATCCTCACAATAATTTACTAAACACATGGCCTTCCTTCCCGGCTCTCATTAATGATCGCCATCCCCCACAATACCGAAATCCACGAGTTTCCAAGGATAATTCGGTAAGGATCACATCTGATAACCAGGGTTCAAAGCTCGAGCTCCAACGGCCCCCTAAAATCTGAACACACATATGTAGGTAGAATACACAGCCACCATTTTCTGCAACCCTACAGTATAACCCCGCCATTCGAAATCCTGATCACTAATATATTCTTCCAATCATATGGTTTCTCTCGCGAGGCATTTATATCCCATCCAGTGATGTGACTCCCTCGCGAGACAGCAAATGTCTTTGTCATTTTATATCTTCATCCTCATGTTTCACGCGGTCAGTAAGTCGAAGGATGAAAATAATCACAGACTTTCTTGTAAATCAGTTGGGTCGGAATTGATATCCTGCGCCTCGTTCAAAACATTTCTTCTTTATTAATCATGGAAAGGTTCACATAGAAGACACATGTAGAAAATCGATATTGTTTCATTGATGTCGCCGTAGTATATATTTAGCATGCACTTAGCCATTGGGGGTCTCAGTATTCCGAACTCAACATGAAGATTGGAAATTCACTTCTAATTTGCCAGTCTGGACCTGCTGAAAACCTCAAGGTCTGCAGTGCCCGGATGGGTAACATTACTGTTCCTTCAGATTTGATACCTGTGTAGTGAATTATTTGTCTGGCCAAGAAGCGCATTGCATTCATCGTTGTTCTCAAATTTTGCAATAGAAATTCTCATCCGTGGTTTGGAAATCTGACAACCATCAACACCTTTATGCTCTGCTCTCGGGTTGTTTTCCCTTCACTCACTCAACCTCTTCTTCCTGACTGACACATATTTCATCTATACTATACATCTATACATGTTTGAGTAAAATAGAAACTTGCCCTTTTCGCACTCACCGTCATCTATTATGATTCGTCATTCATACTCTCAAGAACAAACCGAGCACAACTGGAAGTTTCAAACTGCATTCTATACCCGAGACTCAATTAACACGAAGACTGGATAAAATCACAAACTTTAAACAGATAGCCCAAAACGAAACCCGGCATCAGCATTGCGTGATGTTGACTGGGGTATCTATCTCTGCTTCCTCCTTCGTTCTCTCTTAGCTTATCACCTCCATATTTTCAATCTCGAAAACTATAGTCACAGGACAGGTACGCACGAGGTGTTACTTCAAGAACCATCTTGATTTTTCAACAGCTAGCTGTCAATATGGATGATTGTAAGAAACTGTAAGCGAAATATCGTTTTTCCTCAGGATATAATCAGATGATATTGAAAATGAATGAGGAGAACCCTAACTAGAGACTTATATATCGAGATGGTGAAAGGAGCATAACTCGTAAGGAGAAGTAATCACTGGGGAGTACTATTCCAGTTGGACGAAGAAAGCCCCAGGTCGTATACGACTACTAAACGGTTCATATGGGCATGCCCTCGAAACCAACCAGAATTGCGAATCCGTTTCTTCCATGTACTCGCAACCAAGAATAATTCCTTACTCCTGAGTACCTATCAAACAATTTCACGATTTTGACAAGAATAGTTTCATAATGTAAATATCAAGCCCGCTTGGAACATTTGTATCTACAAAACGCTGAGCTTCCCTCTTAGATATACGATCAGTTTAGAACGTTCTTTAAGAATAAATAGAAGCTTCTTCTCAATCATAAGCTTTAAACAGCAAAAGGTCAATTCAGCTAGAATCAGGGTCATCGAAAAAGATGAGCGACATGAATTCCGCTCATGATCAGCTCTCCTCGCCAATTTCGAAAATTATCGCATTGTTCCTCCCCTGATATTTCCCATAGGGATACGGTTTGCCAATCTTATTGCATTCCCTTCCTGCACATCATCTATTCTTCAGTCATAAGCCCCGGATTTCATACTGTCGTGTTACGTTACACAGCCCATCAACAGACGCGAATATGCTCCACATCGAAGAACCAAGTGCTATCAAAACATCGACGTCGCTCTTCATACTGTTTCCAAAATGCTCACTTACAACACAACAAAACACTTTGTCGCCAAACCTCCTTCAAAACTACTTTCCACCAAGTTAGAAAAGTCAAAAAATAAAATCAAAAACATACAACAGTGGGGATTCGCTGGTGGTCACCCACCCAACTACTAATCCACCGATCTGAAGCTTGTGTATGGCAGAGCGGACGGGATGCCCAATTCTCTTCAGTCTATGGTCGTATGTGACGGTTTTGTGGTCGTGAGAGAATATAAACAGTTTTTGTGTTATGCGAATCGGGGGTGAGTTCACTAAGGATGATTATCTTCGGCTACTCTATTTTTCAATCTGAAGTTTGTCTTTTGATAGAATAGACTCAGTATTTTCATGCTCTTCAGACTATAGTTGTATGTAGAAGACAATAGAGTTTCTGGAGATATGATGAGATGGAGTTGGATGGTGTCGGCGGTACAGGGTATCCGGAGAGAAAGGGGGGACAGGGACAGTAAAAGAATAGCTGAAAGGAGAGAAGCCGCTATCAGCGAAGAGACTTGACATTCTCCGTGTATGAACCTATCTACAAAAATCGCGGTATCATGGAATTGCTCCCGGATACACAGCCCGTAACATTGTGTTGCCATGAATGAAGATGCGAGCAATATTTACCTTCATGCTGAGTATGATCCAAACTAGTAGATATGATCCTCCGACAGGATCTGAGATGCATACTACAGACATACCATGTTTATCAATGCCTAATAATGAGTACTTAGATAGTGCTCTGCTGAGTATTTGATAAAGGGAAGAGAGGCAGAAAATGACAATGTGAAGTAAGTATCAACGATTTTTGATTCCAACATACTCTATCACCAAAATCACCAAAATCGCCACATGAGGTCTTTCCATCTCTTCCCCATACATACCACAACTACAACACTAATCTAAAACACCATCTAAGATGCTTCGAGGTTATACACACAGTCACACTTGTGCTATGTCTTAGTATCGACCTCGCATCCCAACTTTGGGGAGGAGAAGAAAAAAGAAAGGAAAGAACCCCCAAACCAAAAGAAAAACCAAACAGCAACACGAAGAAGCAAACAGAATATCAAAACCCCCCATTTCATCATCCCCAACCTCATCCCCTCATTTCCATCCTCCACGTACTACCGATCATCAAGACATACATATATCAACACTCACCCACATCACATGATCCGGCCAAACTACCCACTTCCGATATAGCCTCACTGACAACACAACACAACACTACACATCTGACAAGACAAGACAAGACAAGTATGAAGAAAGACACGACGACCTCACTTATCTCATGACGCATGCGAGATATTTCTTCATACCCTATCTCACACGCGTAAATACGACGAACAAAAAAAAGTCCTGACTCAAGCACACGCTACGAATTCCTGCTATCTGCATGCGAAAACCAGAGGAGCAAGCCGCTGCACAATCCATGCTCTTGCTTTGCAATACTGAGTTAGTTCCTCTAGTCGATCTCTCCTCGCTCTCCCCAAAAACCAAAGAGGAGAAAGAAAGGAAAGGAACCTTTCAAGTCCAAGAGACAACGCCCATTCCATACCAATTATCCGATTGCCAATCCACGCTCTCAGGATCTCCTCCGATAAGCAGATTCTCAACCTATCCATCTACCTATATAGGAAATCTATCTACACCTCCCTTCTCATTCGTCCCCTCGTCCCAAACGCTGTGCTCTCTCCTACGCCGTACGATCCTCCATGCACGAATTGAATCATGTTACTACCACATACATATCATATCGTAACCTCACATTGGCAAACTTTCTTTTCATCGTGCTGTGTACGTACGTATATACTCTGTACCATACCACGGTACCCTTGTTGAGAATAGGTTGGTAGGTAAGTAAGCAGGTAAGTAAGTTGAATATCATTCACATTATCATATCATCACTTGCTATCACAGTACGTCCTCTAGATACCTACCTGCCTACTACTGCAAGTAATCCTCCAGGTTACCTTAAATTCCCAGTTGCGAGATAATGCTATTGCCATTGCCACAACAGAACACCCACGTACACGTAAAGCGAGCATCAAAGCATGTGAATATCCGTAATCCTCTAATCTATCAATCCAAAATTCACCACCCCAGTCAATCGCCTTCAAAATCAAATGAATCATTAGCATGTGCTGCGGCATGCGCAACAGAACGAAAAAGAATGAATAACAAATCCTCGGACCCTTTCTACTTCCTACCTACCTCCCCCCCACTAACACCACCCGAAATCATCTAGCCCGCCCCATACGAGCCATACCTAGTCACAATCACACAAGGATTAGCGAAACGGAAAGGGTTTCATGAGGTGGGGTGCGGTGTCCCATTAAACTGTCTATTACTGTAAATATCAACCACGGATTCCCAGGTTCACAGTCTCACACGACATTTATACGATATCCGGGTGAATGTATTGCCTATCAATTTGCTATTACCTATTAGGTCGTGTACGATAGCGGGGTTGTGTCAGGAAGCATCCACTGGATTGGGTGAAGGAGGGGGGCTCGGAAGGGTCAGATGCTACATGGTTGGGTGAGCGGTTTGTGCGGTGTGGTGGGGTAAAGCAATAACACCGCACGCATGCGCCTTGCTCCATTGAATAACTAAGAGACGCACAAAGAGCGCAATGTGAATGGATATTGTTGGTCGAGACGAGAAGTGATTGTAAAAACGGAGTGAATGCAAGCGATTCCGATTCTATCCTGGAGATACTTAAGAGCTCAACTTCTTTCCAGTTAAGTCTTACAACCACAACCACGAAAGAAACAAGTCTGCCTACTACTTCACATCAACGAATCAACAAATCTTCAAACAACCTCAACCTTTAACCACCACTACCTCAAATCTATCAAGATGCCTGGAGAAAGCACATGCGGCTGCGGTGATGCTTGTATGTATCTTACTTTCCAGTTTCCAGTCCTTGTTTTCCATTCTTGAGTTGGTTGGGAATTCGTACTAATACTATTGATAGGCCAATGCAAAAAGGACGAGTGCACCTGCTAATCGATTCTTCAATATGATACTCAATTCCGTTCATTAAACACCTTCTCATCTCTCTCGAAATGACCTCGCATTTCCTATTGAAAATCCTCCTCTTCGATGCGAACAAAACATCTTGATCTTGTGGGCGGACGCTTTTCTATTTAGCCGGGTACGCAATGGATACAGAAAGATTGTCGTTGGGTTGGACTTGATGCAGCAAACTTGGGGGAATGGAAAGCTTTTGATATCTGGGTTTCATGCGGAAAGGAAACGGAAAGGGAAAGGAGTTCTCAAACTTGCTTTGATATCAAATCAATTGTCATCTTGACTCCAAATATTTTATCGTATTCTGCTTCCAAAATGTTGATCTTTGTGATTGTGACATGAGACACTCTCGATGAATACCCCACTACTTATCCCCCTTGCGATGAATGCGGGGTAAACGCAGGTAAATCCTCATTGCACGACTTACCAACTGTATTCCTTTCCATTTGTTATGATTTTGTAATAGTTTATCCTATCATCAAAGTATCATAAGCCTTCTTTCGCGGGCGGGAAAGTTTCCTCGTGGCCTTATGAGTGGGTTACAATCTCCCAGCTTGATCCCATCCCAGTACCAAGTCCAAGGATTCGTCAGCTCAAGACTCTAAGGCTTTCCCGACCACACCTACATTGTCATACAGCGCAAACGCTGAACCATCATCCCCTTCGCGACTCAAGCCTCCATAAAGGTGCTGCCACGTCTTTAAAGCCTTCTTATCTTCCATCTTATCAATGCATCCATTTGTCCAGAGTGTCTCAGCCTTGCCATCTCTACCCAAGAATGGATAAGTCACATTGCCTCCAAACATCATCTTAGAAGAATAATGTTGAACTAGTACCATATGGACATCAGTGTATCCGAGAAACTCTCCGTGACTTTATCCGGGTCGCTGTTTTGCCGCGACTGATTGTCCTTCTTCGAGCAAGCTGCATCATTGAATATATCTTGAAATTTCCCGACGTCGTGTCACCTCAGGTGAGGCCATGCTGCTTAAGATCGGCGCAATAATCGTGTAAGAATATCTGACCACACCTTCACCAAAATACCCCACTGTCAATGAATTCATGCTCTCGGGTTACCCAAAAAAGCAAAGTACGAACGTGACACTAAGATCTCCGGGGAAGGACACCCACGCCGTCGAGTAATCATTATCAAATGATGGTTGATCACTTGCCTCTTGTTCCGCCTGTTGTGTAATTCATGGCATCTAACTTTAGTTTGGGGACCCCTCCTTTCTCAATTCGTCAGGATGAATCCTGGAAGCGTAGGTCACTCGCCGGTCGTATTCTATGCCTCGCACTCTAGCCAATTTTCGCAAGCTCCCGCTGGCCAATCTTTGAAGTTTATAGCTTCGACCTGTGAGTATAAGTACCTGCTTTACTTCCTCTTGTTTTTGGTATTCTTTCATCAGCAATACATCAATACAATCAATCAAACGAACATCCACACAAATCACCACGATCAAACCAACCGACACACTCCACAAACAACATACCAATATTCATCATGTCTCCATGCTCTTGCTGCACTCATGCTGCCAGTGAAGGTTGCTCAAGCACCTGCAGCTGCTGCAAAGACAAGGTACGCGAATTTCTTCCTTGCCGCTGGGCAGGCACCAGGTATTAACAGACACCACTGTAGCACTAATGGCATCATCTCTCGACCTCTCTTCACATAACTTCATAAGTATTCACCTCGTCGCTCCGTCATATCACCAGCCATCTCGACTAAGACAGCGATGACCGAAAACCACGAGTGAGACGACCAGTACACCATGTGATGAGTTGGAATAGTGATTGATTCTTGCATTGAGAGGAGTTTCTGCATGTTATATTTCCTGGGGATGAGACAGTAGATGTATGCTATCTTCTTGGTCGGTCGGAGATGAGATATAAGTGTGGTATTTGCTGTTTGCAAAGGACAGGGGTTGAAGCAGGGTCCACTTGTTTTTGGTTGTTGATTTAAGATAAATTCATCACATTCGTTCAAGTAACTTTTTGGTTTGATTGGTCGTAACGAAATCCGTTTTATATGTGGCCACATTTTTTGTGTCGTGATAGCATAATGCGAAGCTATTCTTTGGATACGCAATGAACAGCCGCCCCAAAATGAGCAAGTGCGTGGATGGGTCTTGGTTGAAGCATCTTCGAGATAATCGCACGGTCCGGACGAGATGAGCTCTAGAAACAAAATTCTTATTCGTACCCAAGGCGAAGCGTATCTCAGCGTGAGGAAGTAGAATCCGATTGAACTTGCCCTCTTCGCCTGAAGTCTCACTTCTTAAGTACCTAGCTGGACAAGGGGTCGTTTGTAAAATAATCGATGAAACATAAAATTTGCGCTGGAATCGAATGGCAAACAATGGATTTCTTGAGTCGAGGTTTAAAGGCGGAGAAGAGAAAAAGTTCCTTTGGATTGTGGTTAAAGAAGAGGACTATATAGAGTCGATGTGTCTAGCTTTATAATACTTTGAAAGAAAAAAGCATCTAGTAGCTAACACCTTGATGGATACCTTTGAAGTCTGTGTCACTCACTATCAACACCTTGATGGATACCTCCCTAGTACCTGTCTGCTTCCTTGCCTATTGCGTGATCAATGTATTCGTCATACCTCCTATAGATGATGAAACTACTTATCTAATGTTCTACCCAGAAGACCTTGCATTCGACCTGCATGTCCAAGTCGTGAGCTATTTATTGTAAATGCGATTGAGAGGCTTTCACTTGCTACCTACATAGTTGGTACCAGTTAGGTAGGCAGTAGCAATACATCAAAATTTGAAAGTATTCAACTGGTTTCGAAGGATGTATTAGACATAAGGGCTAGTATAACTTTTATTGGAGTTAACGCTGGGTTGGCCCACAGTAACCTGTAATATCTTGGGTTTGCGGAACCCCACCGCAAATCTATATTCTGCCATACGCTGTTGTAACAATCACTCATCAATAATATCCATGTAGCCTTCTATAGCCTCTTGACCATGGTTCACTAGCACGTCACCTGAGCATTCCCAAGCTTCTATCAACCTATTACGAATATGTGTTGTTGGCAATGCATGTTGTTGCTCAGTGTATTTCAATACCTCAAGGATGCACCCTCGGTCTTCGATGTGTGTAAACTGTTCGCCGCCTGTATAGGGGGTGTGATTAATTGAATTCGAAACTTGACGACGAGGACGAAGACCTACACATAGAGATAGCCATATAGGCTATGTTCATCGCGGATGGAGACTTATGATTCGATATTGCTACGCCACAAAGACGTTTAACGATCGTGTTTATCTGTGCCTAGGGGATCAGAATCAGTATAGCACTCAAAGTTATACATGAGAGAAAATACTTCGATGTCTTGTTTGACTGCTCTGAGGCCTGGTCCCAACCTAGGTATTCGCGGATCGTAAGTTGTGAGTAGAATTCGAGAGATATCCATGTGTTGATGTGCAGTGACTATTACATTTGATGAGTATCGCATTGTGGCAAGTTATCAGGAACCACTTACCATGGCAATCAGATAAATACCATATCTCAGGTAGTGCCCGCCTTGAATTCACAGCAGCAGCTCTATCGTATAAAGCATCGAAGGATTGTGGACGTAAGCTTTCCCAACCTTCGTGATACTGAACTAACATGTCATAGTCGCCATTGGATTTACTCCCAAGGCCGTAGCAGTATTGTAATACATCAGCACAATGGACAATTGTTCGATAAGCCCATGTAAAATCGTCCGCATATTCGAGGGATCGATATTCGTGATACTGTAGAGGCATATGAAAAGGTCTCTGTCTAAGAAAAGCCATGTGAACTTCTTGTCTGTATGCGACACGAAAAGCAGCTCTACGAAGGCTACTGTCAAGACCTCCTGATGCTTGAGCTGTGAGAAATACTTGAGTTCCTTTTGGTGCCCCGTCTCCCCCGCCCAAGGGTGCTAAAAAACACAATATATGGTTAGCCAAAGCAATCTAACTTCATTGGATAGGAAGAGCGAACCATCGATTTCTTCATAGAATCTCAATATCACAGAAGCGACCAGTAGATTTTCGTCATACAAGACATCAAGATTATCTGATACAGATACAAGATGCTCTGTACACTTGCTGTGATATTCAGCAGCAGTCTCCATATGTAAGTTGGGTAGCGAATTTCCGTTATATTCAACCATGCCATTATTCCTATACCGTTCAAGCCGGCTAAGGTATCTCGCAGATGCTGTGTATATAGCATTGAGAAGTGCGGGACAATGTTTCGCCCTTTGTGGAACTACTAAAGCAAAATGGCGCTCCGGGTCACAGAGGTCAAACTGAAAATAATAATAAGTATGAGCAAGGGTGGGCTTAATTTGAGGGCTGTACATACCCAACCAGCTAGCTCATCTGCAAAATATCTCAAAAGGCAAGCCTGCTGTATTTCTGACTGAGATAGGTCATCCACAACTTCATTTTGGACATTCAGTTCTCGAGGGAAGATTGTAGATAAGTCATAGTCGACGAGCCGCTGATGCACCATTTCACCAGAAGTATTTGATCCAGTGAGATATCCATCAGTCTTTGCAGGTCTTCTTGGGTAGGATCTGACAGTTGAACGCTTGCTTGAAGCAGACGAATTGTCATCATCTACCCGTCGCCTCTTCACTGGGGATCTTTCTTGATCTCTCGAAAGAGACTTTTTAAAAGCTTCAGTACGAGAGGTGGTAGATGGCCGCCGCTCGATTAACCCTGTGGAAATAATTGGCTGGGTGATTTCACTCCAATTGGCAGTCAAATCAGATGTAGATGTGCTTTCACGTCTTGCTATCACTGTATATATTTCGTCTAATTCGGGTGACTCATCGATAAAGTCGTCAGAACCAACTAAATAATTGTACGTGTGAATAAGGATAATTGCAGTGACAATTCAACTTCTACTCACTTTTTCCAGGTAATTTCACCCATACTTGATTTTGGAAATTGGAATCGTAACGGGCACTGGAGCCATGACGAAAACGTATTTTTCCAAGGGAGTGAGAAAAGCTCGCATGGTTACTTTCGTCGTCTGAGTAGTTATGTTAGGTGGTGAAATGAAGGATAGGGTAAAAAGCGACTTGACAACAAATCAAGCGCTGTATGAATTTATGCTGTCGAGCAGCCAGGGTAGGAACCTGTGAACTTCACAAATACACCTACCAATATGGTTCTGCTCAATTGCAGAAGACCTAATGATTGCATGTCAGCCATATTCGATTGGACAGACATATTGCCTTGTGTTTTATGTATTCAATTCGGGGGTGAGATCGATTTACCTAGGACTTGACATTGAAAATTCAAGGGACGTTTCGATATTCTTGTGTGACCAGTATCATTACTATATGAAATCTTGGCTGTAAATAGCATTTGGAATTGCTTCAAGCTCAATGGATAAAATATAGAATATAGACACACGTCCTCCAAGAATTTACGGTATGGTGTAATAACAAAGCAATCGAGTAAGTAAAATGCTGAGCTACAGGAAGGTGGGAAGACGTGGGGAACTAGAAAGCTGGGGTAGGAGCATGGGGGATAACTTTCGTGTAGGTAGGTAGGTAGGTACCTATCCACCGAGCCACCTAGGTATCTTTTCTAACCAACTCTAGATACCACAGACGTGTAGTACAAACAATTGTTACCTGTCAACGGTCAATTGTCTTGATATGTCGCGAATCACATAATACCTATCGCCAATCCACAATTCTTTGTGATGTCCAGAACATTTGATGTTGGATGACATGACCGAAAGAAAGATAATGGGTGTGAAGTTTCGCATTTTCGTTCTGCAGGCACTTCTCATTGGCATTTGAACCTCGAACTTTGAGTGAAAGGAGAAGCTGCACAAGAATAGAAGCTGCAAGGCAAAGAAGTCAGAAACCGAAGATGTTCCGACTGCTGGGATATACAGGTCTGCAAAGTGATTGTCTGATGTCTGATTGACTGGGAGGGTGTTCCTTAAATGCATACTGATGCAATGCAGAGATATCCCGAATGCAGCAAAAAGGACCCGATTCATCCTCGTCGTCTTTGCTATCATCGCCATCATCGTTACTTATCATGTTGATAAGGACCGATGGGCGTCGAGGACAATGGCAGAAGATTGTGTTTCACGATCATGTGATCCCAAAAGCAAATGACGGTCCAGTGAAGTTTGTACGATTGAGTCGATTGGAAGCTTCCCTGCCCCCCCTCTGTAATTCGAAAACGCTCGTTGATGCAAAAGGTTGAAGCTAGCAACTTTGTAATGTTATTAACTCTTATTTAGTCATCATATGATGCCTCATTCTATCTGGTTCTCACGTTTCATATAAAAGAGAGCAAGGCTATCCCAGCTACAGGAATGGAAAGAGGCTGCTCGTGGATCCCACATATTAAAATCAGTTGAGTGGACGATGAATAGATGAAAAGATGAATAGACAGATATCATCGGAGGTAGGTATTCATCAAGTACTGTACGAGTATCTAGGTAGGTAGGTACGGAATCCACCCATCGGTCCTACATCGATCAAGCAGAACCGTCCAAAGGAATTGAGTATTTCAGAAGTAGACATTGAAAGTACCTAGGTAGGTGGGTAAGGAAGAGAAGACGGATGTCCGAGAAGTGTGTGTGTAATCCAATCAAGACAAATCAATCTTGATCTTCTCCCCAATCGCTTTCGCTTCGTACAACAACTTCATCGACTTTATTAAGTACTCATTATTAAGTATGCTTGTAATTGGAGGTACTGGTCCTGAATACGTATCCAGTTGAAATGAGAGGAATGTCGCGAAACATTCTCACCAGCAATCAGTTCCTAAACCTCAAACACCTAAATACTGCAATGTAACTCCTCTCGAATTCACAATCTCTTGGATTCAATAATTCCATTCCATTCAATTGAAGGTTATTTATGATTGTTCGTGAAATTATCATTCATTATTGAAATTGTCTCTTCCTTCTTCTTCTTCTTCTTCCTCCTCTTCTTCACCTCCTTCCCCTTCTCCTTCTCCTTTTTCTTTTCTCCTCTTTTAGACTTCTCTCTCTCCAATAAAATATGTTACCGTACCACACCGGGGCCTTGTTACCAAACCAAAATTGATAAGACCTCATTCATTTCGCATCTAATAAAAAGCTTCGAGGCTAGGCCGTGGATCCCCTTTAAACTTAACGGTTTTGCTTTGACAGTACCAGAAACCCAAACCCAAACCCAAGTTTGTTATTCTAAACTATCTTTATCAAACGGCCACCTGGACATTGCCTCCATCTCGTTCGACGTAATGAGATGAGATATTCCATAGTCGCTTTTGCGTCTTTGAAAATCGATGAATTCCCAACGATAGATTGCCAAATCCACTCAAATGACAGTGCTTAAAGACGCGCTTTCGCGATCCGATACATTTTTGCGACCCCGGTCGGAATATATTTCGAGTCCCGGCGTGCAATCCGACGATTCTACACCTTCAACGCCAGATAAAGATCACGAACGAAAACCACGAACTGTGCGAAAACCATCGCCTGGTCTTGCTGCTCGACTTGCAGCATTAGGTTTCGGAAAAGATCCCGATCCAAATTCAGCAACGACAACGTCACCAGTTGACCGAATTGGCCGCATTCCTGAAGATCAAATTCGCCAGCTCGATCACCTCCACCGCGCTAATTCTACGAGTTCGCATATTCACCGACGAGGTCGAGCCTGGAGTGGCAGCATTGGTCTCTTGACTCCTCAAGTAACTGGAGGCAGCTTTAAAGAGACCAACCTTCGAGAGATCAGCATTAGTGACACGCGAGTACTTGACAGTGCCACGCATTCAACACCTTCGCTTGATAACTTTGGTAATCAGGACATGACAACAAATGTTGACCTTATAGGAATGGATTCGCAGAAGTATCGGTTACCAGAACATACAAATGGAAATGGCACGAAAACAATGGCAGATATAAAGCAGGCGCACATCGAACGAACGATACCTCCTGTAGAAGAGATTGAAATACCTCCACCTCCTATCCGCAAAGACGAAATACCTCCACCTCCTATCCGCAAAGACGAAACACCTCCATCTCCTATCCGCAAAGACGAAACACCTCCACCTCCTATCCACGAAGACGAGACACCTCCACCCCCCATAGCTAAAGATACTCCGCCAACTGCGACAACACCCAGCGAATCTTCAAATGACGTTTCATCCTACTTCAATCCCTTTGGTCATCAACGGGCAGGCTCAATTTACACGTTATCGCGAGCGTCTTTTGCAAGTCAACTTGCTCAATTGACGTCTTTGCAACTACCAGATGCAGCCTCGTTGTCCACGAAAATATCCGCAATTCCCAGCTCAAAATCTGCCTCGAAGGCATTAATGGGAGCCGCAGAACAAATTAGAAGTTGGATATCAAAAGCATCAGATGTTGTCTCTGGCCTAGATGGAGAGGATGATGTGGAATGGGCAGCAGCTGGCGGTAGAGAAGGGTTAGAGGAAGTGGATAATGCGATTACACGCTTCGAAAAATTAATTAATGTTTACGTGTCAGCCATCGAGTCTTTACAAGAACGCCCGGATATTGCTACGGTTCCTGCAGAGGAACTTCAAAAGGTCGTACTACAGGTAGAGAGCATCCTTGAGGAATGGGAAAAGATAAGGAGAAATCTCAAGGGTGTGAAAAACTCGGTTGAGATTGCTATGGAATGGGAGGAATTATGGAATACAGTTTTGGGAGATATAGGCAATGAAGTGGATATTCTGGCGCGACTCGTTTTTGAAATGGAGGAGAAGCGGCACAAGTCCTTGGCAGAAGCCGACAACGACGGAGTTGATATCAAGGAGCTCGAGACAATTGTAGAAGAAACGCCCTCATCTAAGTCGAGGTTACAGGCCAACAGTCGATTTGGTATGACATCTTCAGCAGCCTTTCCTCTGAGCCCTAACTCGCCAGTTACACCGATAATGGCGCAAGACGATTCAAGTCTCTTAGCATTATTTGCAAGAATGCAGCCCCTGAGAGCTTCTTTGGACTTCTTACCTATGAGATTATCTACGTTTCATGCTAGAGCCGAAGCGATATTTCCCACGGCCTGCGACGAGCTGGAAAGTCGACGAGGTGGTTTGGAGAAAAGTTGGAACTCTCTCGAGAAAGATGCTGAATCATTACGAAGGGAACTTGGCGAAGATCGTTGGGTTCTCGTCTTCCGCGGTGCGGGTCGACAAGCACAGAAAATGTATGAATCTGTCGAAAGAAGCTGTGCCAAGTTGAAGGAGTCTCTTGATACTGGGGTCCATCTAAACAACCCTGCTACCATGGGCAAGAAGATCGAAAGTTACGAAGCGAAGAAGATGCACTACGGTCCAGCCATCGAAAGAGTTCTATCAATCATCGAGAAAGGAGTAAAGGATCGCCTCACAGTCAATGGTGAAATCTTGAGATTACACTCAGATATGCAACAGAGGTGGGATTCGTTGAAAGATCAAATGAACGAATTGGACACAACACTTGAAGAACTCCAGTCAGATCGCAGAAACCAGCAGCTCAGAGATTCAATCTCGAGTATGGTTTCGAATGATCGCTCAACCATTGGAAGCTTGAACAATGATACACCAGGAAGTTCGCCAGCATCCTCAGTGATTATGTCAAATTTAAGTAGCAAACTTGACCCAACAACACCCGCAAGGAATGGAAAGATACGTTCCAATGGCAGAAGTAGTGTGGCTGGATCAAGAAGAAATTTAAGTGCTGGACAACCTCCTCGATCTTTTAGTCGAGCTTCCCCATCCCCCATCCCTCCCCGACAAAGCTCTGCAACCCCAACTGGTCGACTCCCCCGACCTTCCAATACACCCAGTGACAATCGACCTCGATGGAATACCAGCACTAATACCAGTGATATACTTATTGGCCATGGTTTCAAACCTCTTAGTGTCACAACACCAAGTTCCACCCAATCGAATCGGTCTACTAGGTCCAATACATCTGATTCCAAGATACCATTACGAAGCCCACTGGGTCGCGGAAATACAGCCTCTCCAGTCATACGAGAACCTACAACTCCTTCAGGCAATAGACCGGCTTCACGAACAGTACGACGTGACCTCTCTACCCCTGGGCCATACTCTCAACATACACTATCAGTTAATTCACCTTCCCGTCCCCGTGTTCTGGCTAGCAAGTCTTCCATGTCCAATCTGACAGGCAATAACCGTCGCTCCTCGATGCAACCTTCATTTTCATATGAAGCCAGAGCTAGCAGCCCGGTGGTTCGAAGACCTGCTAGCTCGTTAGCTACCAGCAGAAGGATAAGCCTTCTTCCCACCCCACGAGGCAGAAACTCGGAAATGGCTGGCAGGGATAGTCCCGCACCAAACAGAGGTAGCAGCACATCCACAACTGATAGCAAAGGTAATTCCAAGAAGCAATGGAGACCATAAATCCTCTTGTCAAATCGAAGTTCTTGGGTTACTGAAGCTCTTATAAATGAGTTCCTATGTTTTATCGTTCGACTCAAATTATACACAGCATGGTTTGTAGGCGTTTTTTCTTTCTTTACCACGCCATTTTGAAACGCGCGATGTCTTTTAGCGAATGGAATTTTGTGCTATTGAAATTATACAGTGTGAATGGAGCATTGAAGGAGTTTAAACGGTATGGTCGAAACTTGCCCGCACAAGATTTCACAATTCACATTTGAAGGTTATAGAAGTACAATGGATTGGAATGTGATGGATTGGGAATTTGGGGTGGTGAAGAGGCTGTGCGAGGTCAACGATGGAGAATGATACCATTACTTGTATGATAGATAAATTAGGATTGCTAGGTAGTTAGCGAAGCGAAGGAAGACTGTGATACCCTTTTACTATAACCATAGATGTCGACGTTTTCTTTTTATAGAATGAAATGATTTGTGAAACAGGCTGATAGCTTTTATTCCACGCTCTCTTATGCTTCTTTCTAACCTATAAACCAGCTTCATTCACCGCTACTTGGAGGCTGAAAAGATCATTTCCATCGTCTAGATATAAATGATATGTTAGTGTATATAATATAATAAGTAATAATTGTAACACATGATCATCCATAAGTGGAGGGAGGAGGACGTTTCTATCCTTCACACCTCAGTTTTTATCTTTTCTAATTTCTTCGAGATATACCTGGGTAGCTAGGCGATGTAGGTAGGTAATGATTCCTTTCCATACCTAGGTAGGTATAAATTCTTGTTGATATCACATCACCATTCATCAAGGCATACCTATGTGTCTACACACAAAACTTCGATGCTCCCCAAGTCTTGTTAAATCATATATGGACCCAATTACCAATCGCATTCCATGATTCGCTCTCCATCGTAGAACGATGAAGGAAAACAGTGGAGTACACACCGTCACTTTTCTCCGTTAAACCCCAGATTTGTGGGGACTGCATCTTCCGGTTTAAAGAGGGCCGAAATCGCCGGGGAATGCTTCTTCAAGTGAAGCTTGATTCTATTATTCATTCTGGGTTATATTAACTGTATCTGGTGTCCCATTGATTGGATTGTGCCGACATACTTATATTTCATTGAATATTATTATTATATTGTGTAATTTGTTTAGTTCCATAGGTATATGGGATATTTCAGGATATAAGGATTGCATCTATTTATCATATTGTTCGACTTTTGTAGAAAAGACATCGAGGTTGTGTCAAAATGACGAAGACATTTAAGGGTTCAGAAGGTATGGTCTTTTCTTCCACTCATCTCTACTGTCTTTGATTCCTGTTCAATGTTTCCTCAGTCAATCATGATCGCATCTGCTTTAATCTATCCCGTCCCATTTCACTCGTTTCTAGCATGCATTCCTTAAACTAACACAGACAACACATAGTCTCATCCCACAATACACCAGAATCCTGCTGGGTATGCATCAATTCAACCGTCTACGATGTCACGGAGTTTCTCCCCAATCACCCTGGCGGATCCAAAATCGTTCTCAGTCTCGCCGGTAACGTTGACGCTACCGAGGAATTCGAAATGATTCATCCGCCCGGAACCCTCGAAGAGAATCTCGACGCCTCCAAAATCCTCGGCAAGATTGACGTTTCGGAACTACAACAACCGGTTGAAGAGAAAACAAAGAGTTCTCCTGTTGAAGCTGCGGGTTCAAAAGATAATGGTGAAGATACAGTTGATGTAGATGCGGATGTCAAGACCCTTCTCAATCTCGATGAGATTGAACAATTGGCCACGAAAAAGATCTCAAATAAATGCTGGTCATATTATTACTCGGCGGCAGATGATCTTTGGTCGAAAAGTTTCAATAATGCGGTATATCGACAGATTCTCCTGCGACCACGAGTCTTTGTCGATTGCACAAAATGTGATTCTTCCACCACGATACTAGGACAGAAAGTTGGATTGCCGATCTTTGTATCGCCAGCAGCAATGGCAAGATTAGCTCATCCGGCTGGTGAACAGGGCATTGCGAAGGGAATTTCGAACTTTGGTGCTGTGCAAATTGTGTCGAATAATGCGAGCATGACCCCTGAACAAATTGTAGAGGGTTCACTACCAGGGCAGATTTTCGGTTGGCAGTTATATGTGCAAAATGATAGGAAGAAGAGTGAAGCTATGCTACAAAGGATTAATGCTATGAGTGATAAGTATAAGTTTATCGTTTTGACTCTAGACGCGCCAGTGCCAGGAAAGAGGGAACATGATGAGAGACAAAAGGATGTAGGAGCTAGCCTACCTGTTTCTTCGGGAGTCAAAGCCAAGGAGAATGTGGAAGATAACAGTCCGCCAGCTGGCCAAGGAGGGGTGGGAAAACAACTGTTCATGGGAACAGCCGCAGATTTGACTTGGAAATCTACCCTGCAGTGGTTGGCTAAACATACTAAAATGCCAATTGTCTTAAAGGGTATTCAAACCCATGAAGATGCATATCTAGCATCTCAATATGCCCCACAAGTTAAAGGCATTCTTCTTTCAAATCATGGAGGAAGAGCTTTAGATACAGCACCACCTGCTATCCACACACTCCTCGAGATCCAAAAATACTGCCCGGAGGTTCTAAGTAGGATAGAAGTTTGGGTCGACGGTGGCATTAAGCGGGGTACAGATGTCGTGAAAGCTCTATGTCTTGGAGCTAAAGCTGTGGGGGTTGGCAGAGCTGCATTGTTTGGTCTTGGGGCTGGTGGTCCAGAGGGCGTCGAAAGAACGTTCGAGAGTATGTATTTTCTGATTTGTTTGTTCCAGTAGTGTCTGCTTTCCATCTTCATTTCTCAAAAGGTACTGAAATTAGATTGGGGAATTTGCTAACATACATATCTACTAGTCCTCAAAGCCGAAATGGAAACTTGCATGAGACTTCTAGGTGTGGAGAAGATCAGTGAGTTGGGTCCCAAACACGTTAATGCTAGAGCGGTAGAAAGGGATTTGTATGATGGTCATCCAGGCTTGGAGAAATTGGGATTGTGGGTAAAAGCCAATTTGTAGATTCTTAATGGAGAGTTGTCGGTGGTTGTGTTAATGTAGGTAATTTTGGTATGGTGTGTATATAGATTGTAGATATATAAATTGCGGATGGTTGATCATATTTAGAATCTAGTATTGCAGGCTCAGTTGAAAATGAATAATACTTTGTACCTAGGTAGCTAGTTGGATTTGATGTTTGTACCTCATACTTTCTATAATACTATGTCTACTCGAGTATTACCCATGTTGTCTATAGCACCTTGATATCTCCCACATATTCCCCCATCACCCCTTCTACCTAGCTATCCATCCATCCATCCATCCATCCATGAATACATTATATACTGAGATATCAACACATGCCTCCTACATACTAATCTAATCCGCTACATATTCTCAATTCACTAGTAGAATGAATAGGCAAATGATAATATAAAGTTTATTTTTCATCTTTCAAATTCCTAATCATTAGGATACTTTGCTCTGCTCTGCTCCGCTCCGCTTTGCTTTAATCTATTCGCTTCATCTACTTGTCTTGGACTATACTTGGACAAACTAAATTTGGAGAGAGTTGACATTGTGTATATGTATGTATGTATGTATGTATGTATATATTTCGATTCCACTATGTCTTGTAACTCCGTACAAGTATTTCTGTACACCCCCACGTATACAAATAGTGATTGCGGGAGTGTGATAGGATGTTAGCCAATACGTGAACAAGTATGTAGATGTACGAGGGAAGTTTTGCTCCGGGCGAGAAACCGGTACCGAGTGTAAGAGAGCAATTTGTACTATCACTGAACATTCTGTTACAACCGGCTCCTTGAATATACTCGTCACAAATCGATGTTTCGTTTGTGATTAGAGTCCAATGGGTATGTCTTGCAGTTACAATGTTGTGAAGAAGTGTCAAACTATTGCAATTGAAGGCATGAAGCATATATACCTAATGAGAGCTATCACCCGTGCTCCACTATGCATGTATTTATAGTACCTAATACTGATATATCTGAAAGAAAAGAACACGAGCTAAAGGCGATCTACTCTGAGCTTCGAAGAAACATTGCGAAGTTCCATCCCTCAGGCAAAATGTATTAGACGAGGAAAGAGAATTGCACTCAAGTGAAGTGTACAAGGCGCCATGATAGAATTGTGAGCAGGCTCATGGGTATCTATTTGTTCATTTATACATTCTCCGCATCTGCCACAAGCTGAAGTCACAAAAGATCCCAGAGAAGATGAGGATCTGTCTCATAAACGTAACGCTCGTCCCATCATTAATTATAATCGTACCATGCCACCACGTTCAGTGGCACATTTATAGACCATTGATCTTCCATTTCCATCATCACACGCCACAAAAAGAAGCCGACGGAAATGAAGTTGTGATGACAATCAAATGGCTCAAGGAGTGGCGTTCTAACCTGTGTCTCTTGTTTCATTCATGGAGCAATGACCGGATGGCCGGGTCATGTATAAAGATCTTGGGATATTCCTGTTTAGTTTCACCGCAGCATCTTCTATCGCACCGCATCCACTCTTGATCCTGCAGTCTGCCGTCGAACACTCTGAGTAATCCAATCACCTGAAATTAGTTGCTCGAACTTCCAATCAATATCATGTTTCCAAAACTCGCAATTGCCTCGCTAGGCATACTCGCGACCTCTGTTCAGTGCATCGATGTAACGATAAATTCTATCCTCGATGGCGAGATCAAAGTTGCCTCTACTCAGCTCGACAAAATGAACTTTCTGTTAAACAGCAACCTGACTTGGTTTTTTGATTTTACTACGCAGCCCCACTACACCTATACGCCAGGTGCCGTCGTCAACGCCGATGCTGCTACATTCCCTGCTTCGACTAGTTACGGTATGACGATGGCTTTGATTAACTTGGGACCATGTGGAATGTTACCTCCTCATTACCACCCACGAGGCACGAACTTTGTAGTGGCAGTCGAGGGTGTGACGCAGACGTGGATGATTGAGGAAAACGGGGCGAAGGTTGTTAACCAAACACTGAGGCCATGGCAGATGACAATCTTTCCGAGAGGAAGTATTCACAGTATGCAAAATTTAGGTACTATTTGTCCCTATGAACTAAGACAACTAATGCTGAATGGAATCAAGGTTGTACTAAGGCTACTCTTGTATCGGCGCTGAATTCGGAGGATGCAGGCACACAGAACATTCTTAATGGACTTGCACAGTTGCCACCGGATATAATAGCTGCGGCTTTTGGTAATCCAGCGGCAGGGTTCAATCTTCCACCTATACCAGAAGTAGGCACCGGTAGTATAATTGGATCTGCGGCCTGCCTAGCAGCTTGCAGGGGGAAAATGTAATGCAAATTCCAGTGTCGTTTAATTGTGAGTGATCAATCCCTTCAGAATCCTACTCGACATGGTATTGACTCGCAATAGATGTCTTTTCGCTGTTGTGTTGAAGTGGCGGTTGTGGATTGGATATACAATACAATCTGGCGTTTTGGTTATCGTTTTGAGGAAACCGTCTAGCGATTTGAGGTTTACTAAGTATAGCAACAACTGTGTAAAATACTTTGACTATCGTTCTGTTCGCCATGGTGCAATTCATGTACACGTAGTTACCACACTATTTTCCGAAAGGAGGTGAGACTGCCCATCAAGGTTGGTTGGACAAAAAAGGCTCGGTTCGTACGTCTGGAGACGGGTATTGTACCTTGAACACGCTCCTTATTTGCCTCCAAACTTTTTTGCGACCCAAGCACTTCCATGTTCGTCATACTCTTCCTTCGTTACTGATAGCTTCTTCAAGACATCAGGATGTCTCGCCAATTCTGCTCCACCATTCCAAGTGCTGATAATAGGATGTTCTGGTCTCGCACAACGAACGTAACACTCCGCTGGAGCAAGAGCCTTAATTTCAAGTTGCAGTCTCAAAATGAATCCTTCTATCTTTGAGCTGCCTCCTACGACAATGATATTTGCGAGAAGCGCTGGCCATAGACCCATTGGTAAAGCAGAGAGACTTTCCATGACTAGTTGAGCAATGCCCGATTGTCGCATACCAATGTCCGATGGATTAAATAGTAATTCTGGGACAGTAAATCTTTCGTTTCTCAAAGTCAAAATATCTTCCGCAGCTTCTGCCAGCTTCCCCTTGGTCAGCTGTTTTAATTTTCCTGCTTGTAGTGGATCATGATCTCGCACGAAACCTTGAGACCGATTATGATAATCCGGGAGAACATAATCTTTCGCTATTCCACCACCCGTCTCGAATATTTCTCTTCGGTCTCCTCTAGTTCCTTTCCATGTTTTCTCCATATCTCCATTGAAGTCCCTTGATACATAACAACATGCTTCCTTTATTTCATTGACCAAATAAGTGTCGTTGCGCATATCATACTGGCGTAGAGATATTAAGCGTGTCAAATAGTTTGTCATGAGCTTGCCTCCAACTTCTAATCTCCTGATCGCTGATTGTAAAGGGCGCCCTCGCAGCACAGGTGTAACGGTCGTATGAGAATATCCAGCATCGATGAGAAGTATTATTTCGGCGGGAAGAAGAGGCTGTGATGGATCTCGAGCTGGCCCTTTAAAGATCCCTTGAATGTCGTTATACGAATTGAGAATTGGACCTAGATATTCATTAACATACGCAATTAAAACATAACTTAATATATATCACCACATACCAGGGCACCGATAGTAGCTAGCAAAGCCAAATTCCTCGAAAATCATTTGATCACAATTTGTTTGCAGAACTGGCAGCGCATTAGGTGCCTCTGTCAATATGAGACCCGTCTCTCTTGGATCGCAATGTAATGGCGCTTTTTTGTCAAAGAACTCGTGCTCCCATATTTCCTTCTCTGCCTCCCAATTCACCAGGTATCCTTTTTCGACGGGCCTACGAAAGACGATATCTCCAAAGTCCTTACAATTATCGAGTTGTGATCCAATGTAGACCTTCTTTTCGCGGTCGCGGGCCATACAATTGGGTATAATTCGCGGTGAATCTGTAGATTCTGGAGATGAGAATCCAGCTTTGATAGTGTAAGCTCCATTGTCAACGACCAGAGTTCTGGATGGTGCTTGAGCAGCAGCTGCTGCTTTTTCCTGTGTAGACATTTTTTATTTCGTCCAAGTTTGGACCGAAAAAGGTGTCAGCGCATTATTATCGGGATGGTAAAGGTAACTTTGGTGGTTGCTTGAAGCTTATCGACGCATTACAGGGGTGAATATCGCGTCGCACTACCTATGGGATTCGCGCGGAAACCCCCACCAAGAAAATAGTTTTCAGGCTTCAGATTTCTCAGCGTCATAATTGTTGAATTTACACCACAACAACGATATCATGGCCGACACCGGAAAGAAAGCCGGCGATGACTTGGCTCTTTTAAAGTCTACCGTCGAAAACATCAAAAATTTGATTTTACAACTACAAGCTTCAGCAAAAGGTCCAGAAGATGTGAAGGAGGGGTCATCGTCTGAAAAGAAAGAGCAACCCAAGCACGCCGATGTTAATGCCATCGACCTTGCCCATGATTCTGCGAGCTTAATCAAAGCACACTCGACGAAGTTGTCTCTTTTAATTATCAATAAGCCTTTTACGCCTTCCGCAATCAGTAAAGTCTTGCGAGAACTTGTGTCGGGACCTTTACCAGGCCTGGCATCTGCCGTCGAAATCTGCCATGCTGCGAAATACACCAAGGCTATGAGTGAAGAGCTGCAATGGAGAGTAAACAAGGTCTTGACGGAGTTATCGACTCTGGTCAAAGCAATTCCATTAGATGGAAACATTCTGAGTGACGACAAGAAGAATGGAACGGGAAAATCAAGTGGGAAGGGTAGTTTGGCTTCGACAGGTGTTGTATGGGATGCCTGTGATTCTGTCATGGGTTTAAAGACTCTGGGTGTAGCAGGATTGGCTATGAAGAAAGCTGTAGAATATCGAGATTTGGTAAAAGATGCGCTCGAAGAACTGCAAGCATGGGCGGAGGAAGAATCAGATGACGAGGATGAGGATGAGAACAGTGGCGATGAAGACGATGGAAGCAAAGACCCTCAAGATATCGTAGATGATCTCTTTGGATCGCAACCACACATACCCAAGGACGACCCGGAAAAGATTCGCGAAAAGCTCGAGTCGTCGACCAAAAGATTGAGGCTCATAATTTTGATGTATCAAGCGGTCGAGAAGAGAAGGTTCAAGACACTTCCCTATCTGCCACATCCTGAGTTACCTACACAACTGAAGGAGAAATCCTCCGAGGATCCAGGCATTGTGGAGTGTTTAGATGAGGTACTTGTAAGAATGAAGAAGATCACAAACCTCACGGATGATCTAGCAAGTGCATTCTATGACTTAGATAGTTCTGCGATTGACAAGCTCATGGATGAGACTTGGTTCACTGGTTTTGCTACAGTTGAGTTGTTGATCAAAGACTGGGAGGGGCAGAAAGATGATTTCACTACTTGGGTGCGTATTGTCCAATTTTTGGACTCGTATCGCTTGCTAATTGTTTTAGGCATACAAATTCCAGCTGGCTATGAAAAAGGGCTGGTAATGCAATGAAAGCAACGACTTTACCGAACTGCCTTCTTTCAACCATTGTATTGGAACTATAGTTCTTGAAAGCTTTACTAGATATCAGCTGATAGTGATTAGCTTGCATATTACTTGATCTAATTTTATGCATGTTTTCAGAAAGAATATGATTTGGATTTGTTGGCATATTTAGAATTTCACAAAGATATGATACCCAGATGCAATACGAGACAAAACTTTTCACTCCTGTGGATATCAAGATTGAAATACCTTGGCCTGTGATGAGGTCCAAAGACTGCAAGAATACTGCACGATCCTTCGGGAAAGGTGATTATTTTTTTTGTTCACCGCGCACCAAATTCGATCTCATAGAAGTGCTCGTGTATATTAACAAGTTGAGCTACTACCCTTGTCAATACATTTTTGGCATCCTTCACTCACCACATCTACTTGCTTATCCGTTTCTTTGGCGAATGGAGATCTTCCTGTATTCGGTGTTCTGTTTGGTGCTCGTGTATAACCGATTGTCAAAGCAGCTTATGTACCCCACGTCTCGGTTACCTGAAAGCGAGATACCCATCGAGATACCCCGAGGATTTGATGCCAAGTTGAAGACCAGGTACCCCACTTCCCCATAAACAACTTTCTGCTTCCCCATGGGATGGATAAATTCGCTCCGGCCTGTTCGATGGATGAAGATGCATGCATGTATGCGGCCAAAGCGGGCGAGATTTCGTGGGATGATCAGTATTTATACCAGCTTCATGACCTCTGCAGAAAGTGGGATGTTGCGAGTTCTATTCTCTCTCACTTCACTCATCTCTTTCATCACTGAACCCGCAATTTGGTATCCAAGATGAACATGGCTGGCTCCATCGAAGATTCGTCTCAAAAGCCAAAGGCACAGGGAATGGCTCATCCTATTCCAAAATCAGATCACGACATATCCCACGTCGAAGATATGCACTATGCAGGACCTGACAAGCCAGATCATATGGATTATGGGCGTGTCGATTCTGAGGTTGCTAAATATACCAGCGAGGTGCTTATCCATATAAGCGATGATGAGAATAAACGACTCAAGAAGCTCATCGATAGACGAGTTTTGATTATCATGATCCTGACATACTTCATACAAGCGCTTGATAAAGGAACATTGGCATTCACATCGATTATGGGCATCAGAAAAGATGCTAATGTTTCCGACACACAGGTATTTATCTATCTGTTTTCCCTACCAGATTTGAGCAATCACTAATATGGGGGCAGTATCCATGGCTCACAACATGTATATACATAGGTATTCTAGTTGTAGAGTACCCTACGAACTGGATTATACAACGCGTACCAATTGCCAAATATCTGGGTATCAATGTTTGTGTTTGGAGTATAATACTCTCAATGCATGCCCTCTGCCATAACTTCGAAGGTCTGGTTGTGGCTCGTACCCTTCTCGGAATCTTCGAAGCTGCTTGCCAGCCCATCTTTGTGGTTTTGTCTAGTATGTGGTACAAAAGAGAAGAACAAGCAGGAGTTGTAATATACTGGTACATGATGAATGTATGCTCGTCTCTAATCCCAATATGATCGGATATATCTAACGAGGATGACTGTAGGGCGCTCAACAAATTGTAGGCGGGCTCCTCGCCTACTGCTTTACCCTTCTCAAATCCGGCCCTCTCAAATCATGGCAAGCAATCTTCGTCACCTACGCCTGTCTCTCCTTCCTCTGGGGACTCTTCATCTTATTCTGGATGCCCGACTCCCCTATGCGCGCCAAATGCTTCAGCGAAGCCGACAAAAAACTCATGGTCGAACGTGTCCGCTCCAATCAAACGGGCATGCAAAACCGCAAATTTCGTATCGAGCACGTCAAAGACGCATTTACCGATCCGCAAATGTACTGTTATTGTTTAATAGCTATATGCACCACATTGCCAACGAGTGGACTGGGTGCATTCGCAAATATCATCATCACAGGGTTCAATTTCACCGTTCTGCAAACGCAGCTCTTGGCTATGGTATTAGGCTTTTACATCATCATCGTGTTACTCTCTAGTCACTTCTTGGTGAAGAAGTACAACCAAAATATTCTAATCATGACTTTCTACCTTTTACCGTAAGTGAACCCATTCGATATCACCGCTACTATTCTAATCCTGACATTTAGTTCATTCATCGGCACTATCGTCCTCATGACAGTCCGCAACACCAACTTCAGTACCAAAGTCGGCCTTTTAATCTCCTACTACCTAACCCTCTCTTTCTGGTCCACTGCCACCCTCTCCCTGACTCTCATGTCCCGTAACGTCGCTGGTCAAACTAAGAAAACCATCGTCGTCGCTGCAAACTTTATAAGCTGGGCGGCAGGAAATGCAGTTGGTCCTCAAGTTTTCCTGAAGAATGATGCGCCACGCTATTTTATCGCATTTGCTACGCATCTTGGCTGTTACACGTTACTTCTTCTGGTATTAATCTTCCTCAGATGGCACCTGATGAGCGAAAATAAAAGGAGAGATGAGTTGGCAGAGGCAGGAGTTAGAGAGGCTAATGATAGAGACATGGTGCACGCTTTTGACGATTTGACGGATAGAGAGAATCCCAACTTCAGGTATGTTTACTGAGATGGAGGAATGCATATTAGAAGATAGTAGAGAAAAGAGTATGTCGCTCAGAGGTAGACGGTACTTCAATCAATAATAATCACAACGATGCATGCATCTTGTCCTAAGATGTGGGTGAAAAATTGCTTTTAATCTATCAACTATGTGAAGAAAAGGAAACCATGGAGGCGAATCTTTATGTATTCCCAAAACTGCCACTCCTCTAATCATTAAGCTGCCTAAGTTATATTTATCCAGCATTCGAGGAGAAAGAAGAAAAGAAAAGGTCGACGAGTTCATCCCGAACCAATCGCAAGGCTGATAAGGATACTATTGTACACGCTGCCTGGTCGAACCTATTAAGACCCGACGACGACACTGATGATTCTCACAAGCGGCAATACAACGATCTAATGGAAAGATGCGAGGCCTTGCGGATCAACAGTTAGTGGTTGCTTGCGCTGTTGAAAATATGTAGTGTATCTGACTTCGCCTCTCAGTAGAGAAGTCGAGTCAACACCTGGAATAGCTCCGTTTGCTGTCGCTTTCCCCAACTCAGTGGCTTTAACATAGTCGGGTTGAACTGATATAGGTCTATGGTCTGTTAACATGGTACTCTGTAGTACTGGAGAAGGATGCTTACCCGTTTAGCTCGCGATCAATCTGTAAAAATTCCTTCATGGTCTCCTTGGAACCTCTTTCTCTTAGGTACATCAAGTATAGATTACTGATCTCCTTCTTTGTATCCAACCTCATGGATGTCTTGATCATATCACTATGAATTTGCTTGAGCCTTTCATGGTGCTCGGGTTCCGAGACTGAGTTAGTTGGCTGCGCCAACTCAAATTCCATGTACTTAGTCCAGAAATGACGGCTCTCTGGATACCATTGTGTGTTCTTCTGGAAAACTTGACGAGCTTCATCGACAGATCCTTGAATCTTCCACAGTAAAATGGCCCACTCAACAACAAAAGCTGCTTTGGAGTAAATGTCTAATTCTGTTGAAGCGATTTGTGCTTTGTAGACTTCAATTGCGGCATCGAGGCCTTTGTGGCGGCGTTCAAGATTAGCCCAAGAAATGATGGTCTCTACATGACCAGGCATGCGATCCAGAATGGCTTGGTGAATATCCCTCGCAACATCGACACGGCCGGATATCTCCTCGAAATAGGCGTATTGTAATCTAATCCCGGGTTTGCTGATTGGCACATAGAGTGTGCTTGCTCTTTGATATATGTTTCTGACTTCTTCTTCCTTGCGCTCCTTTGATGACATCCACCGGGCGTAGCGAAACCAGAACTCGTCGTAGAATGCGCAGGTCACTAGACATCTTTCATATAAGAAAATAGCACGGGTATAATCACCCTCGGCCTCTTCGAAGTCCAAGTATTTGCGCCAATTTGAAAGTTGCTGATTATCGAGCTCGGTGACATGGAAATAAGGACGCTTGATCTCAGACTCGTAAGTCCAACGTTTCGTGGTTTCCGCTTGTGTACGAGCGAAAATTTCAAGATGGAAATTATCGATCTTGGTTCTAATGTCACGTTCAATCTCTAATTCTCCCTTTGGACCTGCCTGGAAGCCGGTACTTTCGGAAATAACATCGGCTCGGAATTGTTCGAGTGTTTCGGCTGGAAGAAGCTCTAGCAATGGACGAGCGTGAGCTAATTGGCGAAAACGCTCAAAGTATCTAGCATATTGATGCATAGGAATCTTCACAACTCGGTTCAGAATAGCAAATATCTTGTCTTGAGCTTCCAGTCGATCTTCAAATTCTAGGTATTTATCCCAGAAAGGATGGGCAAGAAAGTCCAATCCCACTGCGACGGCTCCACGCTCGAAAAGCCTAATATGAAATGTTAGATGCGCCTCATACTTTGAAAAGGGAGGGAATGGAAAGGTGGCAAGGAGTGCAAATACGGGAAGGGCAGTGTGCACAAATGCAATGATATTTATATCCTCCTCGTGCCGACAATGTGTGCAGAGTGATACGGGACAAAAGCGAACTTGTGATAGCAGAAAGATATCCTGGTCATGTTGGTGAGAAGAGTCAAACATGAGCAGCTTTTTTTGGCATTTCTCACCGTTTGTGAGCCATGAAAACTCCGAACGTAGCTCATGTGGCTGTATGACCATGCTGCAGATGCTGTGTTAAGGGAAGGAAAGCATCTAGTATACTTACTCTCTGATCACATCAGGATCATGACTTGTCTCAACCTTGAAGGAACAATAATCCGTCCATAAATCCACAGATGTTGCTATACTGGCGATACCTCTCTCAAAGACCTAAAATATGTCAGCACATAGCTCAATTGCCTTACGGTCTATCTTTAATCACCATCTCAGCAGCTTCTGTACCAGCTATGGAGAATTCCAGATCTGCATATTTCTTCCAATATCCAAACAGGAGGGGAAATTTCGCAAGGAAGCGATCGTAAGAATCTCGAGTTGTCGCAATCGCTTGTGGACTTGAATTACGATTTAAACCTCCTTCCAGAGTCTCTGCTGCGCGAACAAGCTTCTCCCAACTCTCAAAATTATCCGTATTTTCGAGCTATAGATAGAGCACTGATCAGCAAACGCGCAATCGATAGAAACACATTGATGAACCTACAACTTCAGCATTCAGCTTCTTGATCTCAGCAGACTCCTCATCCGTCCCTCCATAATGAAAGTCAGCCATAATAATCGTCGCGTTATTTGTAATGAAGTTTTGGATGGAGAGAGTATTTAAAAGAAGATTTATACAATAAGAGTTCTGGCTTCTTATTGTCTCGAGTCTAAAGTCTTCAAGTGTAAATTATTAATGCAGAGAAACAATTGATGTGGATTGTAGAAAATGGTAGAGAAAGGAACGAACGGGTGAGGCTGAAATTTGAGCTTCACGCATTAGGTAAGCAAAAATTCTTGGAACAGTCAGCAATACCCAATTCAAGTAATGGATATATTCACGTTCACGATGTGGTTCGAAAATACATGTATATTCAACTATGTTTCTCATTCCATCGTTCCATTACGGCGATTCAAATTCCCTACGGCATACACACGAAAGCGCATGATCGGAGAGGATGTTGGACTGTTGGACCATTAGACGGCTAAAACGACTTATGATAAGAATTTACACAGGCTGGTGGTGAGAGGTATCTTATTTCAATATATATACATAGGTAGGAATATCTTTATTGAGATATACGCATCGTATTAGGTACCTACCTAGAGGGAATTTCTGAGAAGCTCTCGAGAGGACCATTTCGGTGGGTGAAGAATGACTTAGAGCTAAACAGGCTTAGCGTCACGCTAATCATTTCTGGCCCATACCTTTTAACTTTTAAAAAATTCTTTCTTTGAAATTTTAATAATTATCAAGGCTGGTGATGAACGATACAAAGTATCAAACATATAGGAAGAGAATGAACGCTTCAATGAAGCATGATCTCACTTGACAACTTCTGAAGCCTTTCCCATTCATTTCATTATATATTCTCCTTTTCTACGGACCCGATTGATTGCGGCGTAACTTTGAGTGTAGATTAACTGGTTTCGCGCATGATTGTTGCTCCTTTCCATATGGTCGGTCCCTTTGGACTTCTATCACTACCAGGTAGTGCTTCAGATATTCTTCAATTCTTCATCCCACCTGAAGGAGGAACTGCAAATACACTCGCCCATGACGGCTTCTACAGTACACTTCGGCACACTGCGCCTCGGTACACTACACTACAGTATATGTAATATCTATGTCTAGGCTCAAGTGTATCCTATGTGAATTGAAGTGTCTCGTGGCAGCTTGTTTGTATCAACGTTGTTTTCCAGAAAGATTGCTCATGATCTAGTTGTGAGAAACATAACGCAAACTTATTTCACGTTCTTAAAGTGTCTTATTTTGACAGCCAAACAAAATTGGCAATCCGGAAGGGAAGAACGTAATACAGTAAGGTCCTTTTAATAAGTGTTATGTGGTACTCGACTGGGTAGATTGTGAGTTCCAATGCGTGGCCCAGAGGCTGAGTATACAGATTCTATACACACTGCAAGCGCGCATGTGAAGGTTATAAGGTTATGTGAGCGGGCCTCTTGGCCAGCCCTTTTATCGGCCGCGGCTTTGTATCTGTCAAAGAGATCGGTCGACCTGTGGGATCCGTTCAGCATTATTGAATTAGCGATCCTTTCTGGTATTCCCCATTGTAAACATGCTTATTCGTTTGAAGTCAAAAAGCTAATACCTGATTGTGGGCGTAGATTTTCAATACGGAAAGTGCCCTTCAATGACACTGCAAGCTCTTTTTGCACAGTAGATATAACAGATTTGCACAAGAAAAGGTAAATAAGATATTCCCAAGTAATGAAGCATATTAGCGTGAAGAAGAGATCATACATATAGTGAACAATAGTAAGAAAGAAAATGAAACAATAACAAAACTCAGACCCATCAGTACTAAAATTGTGGGACACACTGAATAACCAATTTACCATTATCTCCCAACTACCTCCTTCACCGCTGCCTACCCCCTCTCTCGTTCTTTGCCGTGAATCACGATCTTCTATACGGATTATCAGCTCTATCATCATACGGATTATCCGCACTATAATCATAATGATAATCCGCTCTATCATCATACGGATGATATGGCTGAGCTCTTCCCGGGTACGGTTCGTCTGGATAAGGCAGATCCTCCGTCGGTATAGTCCCATAACCGTGTTTAAAATTGGGTGGATGACTCGGTGGCTTCCGAAGCTGATCGTTGGTCTGGTAATTGTTGTGACGACCACTTCTATGTCTTGACATGTAATCTGAGTTTGACCGACTAGATCCGGAAGAGATAGAGCTTCTAGAACCATAGCTTGAGGGGCGGCGTGATTTTGAAAACACTGTAGATGCGTGCGATCTGGTATCAGATTCGTCATCTGAAGAGTCGTCTTCGTGATATCCGCTAGTATAGCCATCGTAGTGACGAGATGAACTGCGACGCCGCCTTCCATGAGAAGGTTCGGAATAAGAGTCAACGCTTGAAGCAGTTTCCCACGACCCCGTGGACTCAGCATCACTTTGTGAAGGGTATCTCATCCGGTCGTGCCGCTTTCGACTCCTCTTCTCGTTATTTCGTAGCTGCACCCCTAATTTCTCAGCAACTCTAGAATTGTTAATTCGACCTAAAGTCTCGTCTCTTCTAACTTCTCGTCTTTCGTACTCCTTCTCACGTCTCGTTTTCTCTTGCTTAGTTTTTCTGGCTCCGGGTCTTATGAACCGAGCCTGCCGGGTGTCGCGGCCATGCTCGAGAAGTTCCAATTTACGTTGATGAACTAGCAAACTTCCCTTCTCAAGTGCTGCTTTAAGGACAGCACTAACATATTCAAGCTTTTTGAAGCGATGATCATTAAGTTCTATCCTTTCCCTAGTTTTTTTGTGTAGTGCCTTAAGTGTCTTCAAGAAAGATCTCACCTCTCCTTCTTTTGTTTTGCCCAGTCGATGTGATTGTGAGTAACCACCGTAAATATATCCATGTTTACTGTCTCTCTGGCCTGGCTCCGGTTCTACTTCAAATTCGATCGAGTATCTCAAAAATCTCCTACGCTCTCCATGAGTACCCATATCGAGTGTGATTGATTGCTCCATGTAGCCAGGTAAGAGCATACACTCGCTGGCGTAGACACTATAACGTTCGCTTTCATCTATCATCACTTTGCTAGATTTCCTTGATAGAATAACTAGTGATTAGCGGGACTTCCGTTTGGGTGTATGTAGAAATTGGTAAACGTACGGTCGGTATTTCCTAGGCCTGAATCCCATGTTTGAGTAGATGGTGGATCGATTGATCCAAAAATGATCTGAAATATAGTTTGCAAATATGGTGGTTTTCAGATCGCTGTTCCACAAGTGATTAGTGGTCTCAATTCAATGGAATAGTCCTTCCCCTCAATACTATAAAACATTTGTATAGGCATCTAAACAATAACAACAACAGCATCCGTCATGCTTGGCTGGCCTAGCAGCGACAGTTTGACGGTCTTTGTTATTCAGCCCTGTAAGTATTGTAGGCCTAGTGGTCGGCGCTTATTTCAAAACGCAAATGCCATCGCGATGCAATCCTACGCAGGCCAGATTGCTGGCTCCTTGATAACAATACAATATACTGCAGTTCCTCACCTTTTATATAATTCTGTTCGCAAGGTCGAAAGTACACCAGCCACGCTCATAAAGCTTTTTATTTTTGACCACACGTCAACGTAAGCATATAAAGGTTTTGTGGTGTGTTTTCACTGAAAGACATGAACTTGTAGCAAAACGGCAGTTTGAGTATTTCACTCAGTGCAGTGGTTATTGGAAAGAAAAGACCAGATACAATTGTGCGATACTCAAATTTGAGTTGACCCTTTTGGAAGTTTATCGATGCAAAAGCCGCGATATTCGAGCGACTTGCATATTTATAGGGAACAAAACCACTCGTAAAGCTCAAGAAAGACATTTAGATGTAGATTCAGAAAATAAATTGAACATTAATTCGCTATTCTGAATTTCTTAGACTGAAGGTTGAGGAATAAATGGTGAAAAGGCTGGAAGGAAAAACCATTACTTTGATGGAACAATGCTCATAGGTCCACCACTCCTGAGGAGGCCACCGGCACGCCCACACTACTTTCATCAACCAAATAATGGCTTACTCAATCTTCGAAATATTAAACAGGACTTTATTCCTGAAGGAACACCTCATACGAGACTTCCCAATGATTTTAGGTCAACCGATTACCCGTCTGAGTCCCTGGCTTTCCGATCTCAGAGCCTCTGGCAAATGAACATGAGCACACCATCGAATTCGATATCCGCAAAACGCAAAGGGAAGGTATAAGTAAAAGACCCGGTCAGCCAGCCCGCCATATGCTTCAAGGTAATTAAGCCGCTGATACGTTGTCTATGATTTGATTCTCTTAGGACTTGGGTCGCGTACGCCAACAGTAACAGGAGCACCAAAAGACACGGCCCATTAAATAGAGATGTTATGGTCAGGTAGTCTTCAGGAAAATCTGTTACCTAAATCCTTCTTCATAGTGACAGATAATCATTTGACAAAGATATCTAATATCTCATAATGTATGTTGTAGAATATATTCAAAACAAAGGTAGCTAACTTGCAGTCCAGATAGCACATTCTTAGACCATGCCTTCAATTCCTCTAAACATTTTCAGTTCCGCAGAGGAATTTAAAGTTCACACTAAAATATACCCTCTTGTTCCTGGCTTCGTTTCAGTCGCATGGTATATCGAAATTCCAAATCTGAAAAGTCATGTGCCTGAGATCAGAAAGTCTGGAGATAGCACGGCAATTGAGGCTACTCAAAGCGTAAAACGCCGTGGGCAACACATTCTTATCAGCGAGCACGGTATACTGTTATTATCAGGTGTACTTTGTGATCGTCAGAAAATGATACTATCCACCGAAGAAGGCAGTGTACTGGACATGCTCGACAAGGACGAACTTGTAGTTTCCAAAGAAGTTGGGATCGTCAAGGGACGCCAGATTCTTTATTTTAGAAGGACCTTTGAACGCCTCCATGTATCTAAAGAGATGAACAAAGATCATACAACGTACATCGATCATGTTACTCTTGATCTTATCGATGCACGCTGCTTTGAATTGAAACAGTCTCCACGGCGGGCTACACATAGACAACCTTCTGATTTCAACAAGAGGAAAAGAACTAGGAGCGTAGATTCATACAGGAGTTCGCGGAGCAATCGTAGTTTCTACAGGGAATACAACGAAGTACCTCCTGTGAAACAAGAAAAAATTCTATCTGCAACGCCCAAATCACACAAATCTACAGAGCAGCACATCTCTCAAGCTCCAGTCGAACAAGAGCATCCTACAATGCAACTGAATCAAGAGAACCTTAGTGCACTTTCCGAAGGACATAATAGCCAAGCCGGTCCGCGTACTCATAGAAGTAGCCGTTCAACCTCAGGTCTCGAGCGCAACCACCACAATGGCGTCCAAATTATGAAATCTACAGATGGAACCAGTGAAGTTAAAGCAGCACCTAGCAAAAGGTCTCATTCGAGAACAGGGAGAGTGATACCTTTATATACCGCAGAGTCAGATCCTGGTCTCGACCCAGAATTTGCTTCTCAGCGTTCCGATATGAGTTCGTCGAATCCAGGCAGGCGGTCATTGATTGCACCATCAACTTCCAGATCTTCCGATACAAGCTCCCTGTCCAGATCAGGAGGTAAGCTTAATCTAAATGTAACAGGTCGCAATTTTCATGTGCTTGACGGGTCGGGTCGAACGCATCCAGCACCATCATCTGACGGCGACAATGAAACGCTGTTACACATCAAAATAACGAAACCGAAGAAACGGTCCAGAACCAAGCACACCGCTGGCATGGTTGTTTGATCAAGTCCTAAGATGCTCCTTGTTTTCTGTCTGTCGTCACTTTTGCTTAAAAGTATTATCTCGATGATTTTTGTAGTTATACTGTATTTCGGGGGTAGTGACGTTGAAATTCTACATCCTCCAGTCGAACCATTCACAATGTCAGCTACAACTTGATCCGGAATTGACACTGCATAAAGCCCGATAATTTCACATTAAAAACCGGTGCATGTTAGGTTCAATATAGTACTATCGGAAAACAAAAGTTCAAATACATATTTCCGTAGTATTAAAAGGTTATAAGTGAGAACAGACCTCGTTAAAACCATACTGCCACTAACATATCCAAATCAACGTCGGTTCCTTCTTCGTTGAGCTCAAAAATCGAGCTGCCTCCATTGATATCTACCCTAAAGTTTCGAGAATCCCCAGAATTATCAACTGCCACTTTATCTCCACCCTCAAGATCGCTCTCAATTCCATTCACAGTCCCTAGATCATCACTTACCCTCAATTTCACTGGCCACCATTCGCCATCCTCTTCTCTAACCCCATCATTCCTTTTCCCTCAAACCAGCCCACGCTTAGTCTTTCACCACCTTCATAACCACCCAACCTCCCCACTTCTCTCATTCTCTTTCCCTCCAAAGCCTTCGCCTCCCTCCTCGCCATTCCTACCCCATCCATCCCCATCTTCGACCAGCTCCAACCACCCGGTCTTCTCTTTCCCTCCTTCTCCATCTGCATCATCCCACTCCATCTCCTCTCTCCTTTCCCCATACCAGCTGCGCCTCTTGCCCCCGCTGTAAATTCTCTCTTTTCAGCTGTCTCTCCATCAACTCGGACCATTTCATCCCAGAATCCTCGGCTTTCAGACCCATCGACCGAAGTGACGGATTTTCGCCAAGTGAACATCATATCCAAGTATTGCTCGAACAAGACTGGGTGAAACCCATTCAAGATGAACATTCTGCCGCAGAATCGAGAGTCTAGAGTATGTAAGACCGGATGTAGAATCGACATAGTAGACAGTGGCGAGGATGTAAGAGGAAGGTAATGTTCAATGTGCTATCCTCACGATTAATTATGCATTTGAATCGAATGACATGAAGATACTCACTGGTATTACACGTTCGTAAGAAGCTTTCATATTAGTATTATCGTTTTCTGCAAGAGCGCCAAGTTCCATACATAGCGAATTAACTAACGGATTCGAGAAAGAGCCACCTGCAGCTCCGAAAGTATAGATCTCCAATTTCGTCATTAAGCTAGCTGGTAGATCAGCGTGTAGTTGGTCGAGGATATCAGAGACGATCTTGGAGCCCGTTGAATGTGAGAGAATGACAACTTTTTGGATGCCAGGTGTCAAAAGAGTTTCGCGAAGTTGCGAGTATAGAGTACGGTGGATGGGCATGGTAATCGAAAGGAAGTGGAGGAGAAGGTCGAGGGGAAGTCCTAAGGTGCGATTGTGGATTCCGGTCATGCGGCGGTGGAAAATGATACTCAGTCGAGTGAGGTGATGCATCATTTGAGTGTAGCTATTCCATTATGAGCGATGTGCACAAATACTTCTTCCTAGAGGGTGATCTGCCTACCTCGTACAACTACCATTAACAAAAATCCATTTCTCGTCCCCAAAGTCTCCAACAGACATTATACTTTCACAAATTCTCTCGTTTCCTCTCAATAGCCATGACATCCCAACCATAGCCCCCCACATAGCTGCACAACACATCATGAACATCGCTCCAGGCATAGTCAAGAATGCCGGTATGACCACAAGCATTGCGCAACATTCCATGATACATAACATACAATGAATGCCGATTTCATACACATCCCTCCCTGAGCTCTTAGGAATCGTTTGAGCCACACTTAAAGTGAAAGATCCCATCATCTGGGGAATGCAGTACAAATTGCGAGAAAGTATTTGCATGGAATTCCAGAGGACTTCCATTGTTGAATGACGATATTGAGCGGGTGATGTCCCGCATGTAGGATCGATTATCGAAGGAATGACTGTGACAACCAATGAAGAGGATGGCGATATCTTCGCCGGTGCAACAGGTGCTAATGGGGCCGCCATCATGTCTCCAATGGAATTCACGGAACTGCTGTTGCGTGATAACCAGGGCATAGTTACTTACAAATTGAAGATAAATAAAAGACAGGCAGAAGTGAATGCAATGGAAATAAGAGACACGTATTGCCGCAAGAATCGATTGTTTGGTTTGAAGCTAAATCCTATACTTATAGATTCTGAGAGGAGATATTAACATTCCTCAACAGGAATGTAAATATGCAAATGCGGAGCAGATTCCAAGACAGTAGCTCATTGGCCACAACTAGAGGGCAAGATGAAATACCATTCTTCCATCGGAATCATAATAATAATCAAAAAGATTCGAAATTGACTACTTGGCCCTCCAGCTCCCTTGCTTACTTCCTGTGCTTGTGACAGCTTTTGAATTCCCACTCCACGCCGCTATCGACCTTGATGCTGTCACCCACAGATATCTCTTTCTCAAAGACCTTGCTATCTAGTCCGAAATCTTCACCAATCGCCAACACTCTTTTCCATCCCTCTTCGATAGTCCATTTCCATCTAACAACTGAGAAGTCATCCCCCTTTCTCATGACCCCCTGTACCCACTCGCCAATCCTAATTACCATCCCATTTACTTCACCAGCATCTTTCGTCTTCAAAACCCAACTCATAAAATAATCACTCTTCTCCCCTTCCATCATTCCAACCTCGAGATCCTCCCATAGTTCTTCATAGTCTTCCACTTTCCCGGTGTCCGGATTCACCATAGCACCCTTTTCTAAGACTTCGTTTGTGCCCTCCACAGGATACATGTAACCCTCATCACGATCATTCGGTCCAGGATTTCGTATCTTGTTATCTATTTCATGAACCCACTGTGTGTGTGCCGGCTTAATCAAGATGCTTTTATCGCCATCTTTGAATACTGCAGGAGTGCTGATTGCGGTACCCGCGAAACCCCACTCTAGCCTCAATATTGCTTGAGGGTCGGTGGTGCTGTTTGGGGGTGGATGGGATGGGTCAAGAATTCGTATATCTACATAGTGTTTATCGGCAGATGTTAAGACAAGAGTGCTAAGTGTGTGTTAGCATGCTAGGGCTGTTGATAACAGCTCAAGATATGCACTTTGTATTTTCTTCTGCTGCTCTATCCTGCAATAATTGTTAGCCTATTGGAGGTAGGATTGTAGAAATATCATAAATACTTGCTCCCCATTTAATATGTTTCCTGATTGATACAAAGGGTTCCGCCATATTGGCTGTTATAGTCTTTCAGACGATTGGGAAGAGGGAACAATAATGTATGAATAGTGGGGGGTTTGAAGGAGCTCTTATCATGATTCAGCTGGCTCCACCTTCTAAAAGTCTCGCACTGCGATAAGCTGCCCATAAGCTATACCCGAAAGTTTAATAAGTCTGACGTCGTGAATAAGAAATGTCATTATTTAGGTATCAATAACTACAAGAGAAGAGAGGCGTAAACTGTAATTCCTACCCAAGGACCATTCCATATGCATAACCCCAAGTCATTGATCCAATCAGATCATAACTAGATACCAAATCCTAACCCAAACCGAAGCGTATTGCTTTAAAACCGCTGCAAAACGCCATATCATATCTCAAGAAATAGACAAATTCCTAATTCTTTTTGATATTCTCTCTAACGGAAGCACCTGATGCGCGATACCAAACGTCACCGCTCCATCGCATCATGCGCTCTACAGCTTGCGTCGGAGTGAGGGCGGGTCTAACATCCAAATAGAATATGGGTTCTCCAGTAGGTTCTTCGCCTCCCGAATAATAATCGATGATGTATCTAACTTCCTTCTTCTGGCCATTATGTTCTCTTTGGACAAACCAATCGTGTCGATCGAATGGTGGCTCAGTACTATAATCATGGTTAGCCAAGTTGAGGCATTGAAACAAATCGCAAAACTACATACCCATATTTTTCCGGAAAAGCCCAACCCATGGCTTGAATCATCGCAGCCTTTGGTGTCATCTCTTTCGGTCTGCCCATGAATCGAACCAATTTGGGCTGGGGCACTTCATCTTCATTTGCACCAATCTCTGCTCCTGCCTTTGAACCCTCTTCTCCTCTTCTACAATTCTCCCAACCCTTCAACAACCCTTTACCAAATCTTCGTTCCCATTCTACAATTTCAGCCCAAGCACCCTCATTCAAGAAATTGTGAACTGATACCATACTCTCAACGGCAGTTGCATCCGTATCAGTATAGCCTTTGCGCAAAAGAGCATTGTACATTTGTTGTGGCGAAGGATACTCCCAGTTACCATCCCCAGTGCCTTTAGGTATCGTAGATGGCTCCCTTTCGGTTGGCAATACAATAGTCTGATCCTTCGCTCTCTCTTGAGATAAGTCCGGGAACATGTAGTTCAAGGGGTTGTATTTGGAGTATTTAGACGTTGCTTTAGATTCTTGAGAGACGTTGTCGGGCGTATATGGGCAGGCGGACTCGGGTGATGATGCTGGAGGTTTTGCCACAGGCTTCAGAGCATCTGCGCTGGGTTTGTGCATAGGACATGATGGCTGGCGAGCGGAAAATCAGAATCACAAAATGACTGAGTAAAAACAGAGATTTATCTACTCACAGGCGGAGTGGCATTGCTATCCTTGGGCAAAGCGTGAGGAGCATTTCTCATACCCGACGCCGCAGCAGCAGTTGCAGGAGAATCAGCCCAGAACCATCCCATATTGTTTGTGAGACTTAGGATGAACCAATTTGTGTACTTTTTAGGTTTTAATATGAAGGATATAAATTGGAGATAATTGATGTCCTTTTAAACACTGAAGAAGTAAATGAATATATATCTTTATTGGAATTAGCTTCACTGTGATTCGAAGGAAAGAGAAAAAGAGGAGGAAAGAGGGGATTCGGTAAAAATTCCGCCGCTCAAGGATTTTTTTTACCCAAACCGGCGATGAACCGCTGCTTCCGCCGTTCACGAAAAATTATATGGGTCTCCTTGAGTAAAGAGCATAATTTATAACATGGAACAAACACGCGGAGAATGAAAGGAATCAGGTTGTTGACATTAACTAAATTGAATGATAATATATCTGGGTAATTAGATGTGTATATTTCAAATCTCATTTCTTTTTCAAACATTTCTACTTTCCGCAATCATCATGACATGTTTTACCATATGAACTTGAATTACATTTTTTGGTGCTGTTCAAATGAAGAAATGCTATAATTGATTCCTGACGTCACTGAATCAATACTTCACTGGCGCATCTCATGCTTCGTGAAGGGGGGTTAACAACATTTGGGTTATATTTTAACCAAACCTACTAACAACAAAACAATCTATGGAGCCTCGATAGTGCTTAATTACGGGAACAAACCAATCTTCACACGAAGGAAGATAAGGATGTTTTTGGCCACAGGTCGAACATGTCTTCGTCAGACCCTTCCCAGAATACGATCCTCGATCCAATGTCGGAATATTCAATCAGCAACAAGACAATCATATAGAAATGGCCGTGGAGGTGGAGGTGGAGCAGGAAGAGAAGAAGGGAGTTGGAGAAGACGAGGAAACTGGCAATTCAAATCGCCTCCGCAAACTAGAGGGCTGATCCTCGCCGCCGCAGCAGGCTTGAGCCCTACGGTATTTGTTCGACTATCGGAAAAAGATAATGGCGGAACTGAGATGACTGCAGAGGGGCGAATGCTAGAGGCATCGAGGAAGGAAATTAGCAAGAAAGTGGGCGATGATGTTCACGGGCTTCAACGAGTAAAAGATAGTATAATCTATTTTCTAGACGCCTATCTATGGGAACCCCTTTGCACAAGCATACGCTTCCTGCACCTTGTGGTTATATTCGTCCCAGTTCTTGTTACTATACCCGCTGCATACTTTGGGCCTAGGGATATAGCGCGGGACAATGAGCGAATGGGTACTCTATGGTGGTACAGGTTCTTAGTTAAGGCTATGGAACGAGCTGGGCCTGCATTTATTAAGGTGCGGCATCTGATTCTTGTTGTACCTTGCTGTGCTGACTTTCTAGCTTGGGCAATGGGCTGCCTCTAGATCAGATATCTTCCCTTCGCAAATGTGCGAGATCATGTCACAACTCCATTCCAATGCACCCGCGCACTCGTTACATGCCACCAAAAGGATTATAAGTAGAGCATTTGATGGGCGACCCTTTGACGATATATTTGAGGAGTTTCAGGAACAGCCTTTGGGGGTGGGAGCTATAGCACAAGTTTACAAGGCCAAGCTGAAACCCGATTTGGCAACACCAGGAGATCCAGATCTACAAGAGCCCACAAACATACGAAGAAATGTGCGTAAAAATGTCGACACGCTTATTAAGAGCACACCACAAAGAGTCCCATCGAGTTATGTTGCAATTAAAGTTCTTCATCCAGGGGTAGAAAGAGTTGTTAGACGCGATCTACGGATCATGTGGGTATTTGCTTCAGTAATAAATTTGATTCCCACATTTGAATGGCTGTCATTTCCAGATGAAGTCGAACAATTTGGACAAATGATGAGATTGCAACTTGATCTTCGAATTGAAGCTGCAAATTTGTCAATCTTCAGGAAGAATTTCAAACCAAGGACAACAGCATGGTTTCCATTTCCATATACTCAATTCACCACAAGACAAGTACTGGTGGAGGAATTTGCACAGGGTATACCGTTATCTGACTTCATGGAAAATGGGGGCGGCGTATTCCAACAAGATATTGCGGATGAAGGACTTGATGCATTTTTACGCATGTTGCTAATTGATAATTTCATTCATGCAGACCTTCATCCAGGTAATATTATGGTCCGCTTTTATCAATCTGAGAAGCCCAACCTACCTTTCAGTAAACATAAAGACGAAGATCCTCAGTCCCAACCAGATGTCACTGAACAAGTATTGGCAAGACTTCAGCCATATCGCCATAGAAAGGATCCTCAGGCATGGCAAGCAGAACTTTCAAAAATTGATAAAGAAGGATTCAGGCCCCAATTGATCTTCATTGACACAGGACTGGTCACAGAACTAAATGCAACCAATCGAAGAAACTTTCTTGATCTCTTCAAAGCTGTGGCTGAGTTTGATGGTTATAAAGCAGGTCATTTGATGTGTCAAAGATGTCGCCAGCCTGATGCAGTCATTGATGAAGAGATTTATTCTTTGAAAATGCAACATCTTGTCCTAGGAGTCAAGAGTCGCACGTTAGCACTGGGCAACATGAAGATAGGGGATATACTAAACGAGGTTCTCTCCATGGTCCGAACTCATCATGTTAGGATGGAGGGGGATTTTGTCAACGTGGTCATCAGCATTTTGTTGCTAGAGGGTATTGGCAGAAGTCTCAATCCTGATATCGATTTGCTCTCCTCTGCACTGCCTATTCTACGAGAATTGGGAGCACAGAGTGGAGGTGGAATGCTACGCCAAGGTGATTTCTCCATGCTGAAGGTATGGGCAGGTTTGGAAGCTAGAAAGTTCTTGCAGGCTTCCATTGAAGATGTACGTTCCGCCCTTTCTTTACTCCCATCTCTTTATCTGTTGTTGCATTCTTCATCGCCACTCCTGCACTAAATTCCTATGTATCATTGTTGCCTCCTATTCTGGTCAAACGTTTGGCAGCAACAATCATATTCTTTGTGTCTGCCTCTGGTGGCGGGCTGGTAGCAATTTGCCAACGTGCCAGGTTAGCTTGGCTAGTCTATGCCTTCTGGAACAAATTGGTTTGCAGCGCAACATCATCTAGGCTGTGCTTGGATAGACTTGCACACACCTTGCCCATGAACTTGGCTCTCTCTTTCCACCTCTCCCCATCCACCTGAAGTTTTCATTTTGTATGTCTTGGCATGCCGAGCCCAAGCCCAAGCCCGAGCCCCTTTTACACCCACTTGCGACCGACCCCTTTAATCTAGCACTGAAAATTAGCGATAGATGTTCAAATGCTGACAATCCAATGTAGGTTGAAAGATGTGTCAAGTATGATTTGTTATCACCAAATGTGTAGAAGGTATAGTTGTTTGGGTTGGGTATGATTGTTTAACCTTAATATAGACTCCACTTCTGCAGTCTGGTGCGTTTTGTATTGTATTGTACATAAGGAGTAAAACGGCAGATATTAGACATTCCACTTGTATTCTTTGAATAAGACTTGTGCTTTACAGTCTTGCCATTCAAGTTGAGTTGAACCAGCCTTGTCAGATAGCCTCACTGTTTCAGATTGAAAGGCAGACGAGTATAAACTTCTTCAAAAGGTAAATAAAGGGCGGAATGACGACAATGAACAATATAGATCTTTCTTTTTAAAGTTTTTGAGAAATACCTATCATACTGAGGGAAATAATTGATAGTATGAAGCTCGGGATCAAGATTTCAATAGAAGGATTAGTGGTAGCAACCGGCAATATCCGAAGTTGTTAGATCCGAAGTTGATCTAACAACAGGTCCTCCTGATTGACTAGTTTCAGTCGGCATCAACAACAACAACAACAGCGAGGTTCATTTTCTTGCATACCCTACTTGCTGTCTCTTTGCCCACTTGCTGCCATTGTTATGGACTAAAGCTAGCCTCCCCATTCCTTGCACAATCACAATTCTCAAAATTCACTCCCTTTCCATCCCCACCTGATCACAATAGTACTCACTCTAAGTCATTCACCGCCCAGACACTCATCTGAAAGGAATACTTGATATTCTTTCTGTATTTTGAGTGGACCCACCTTTCTTGCTTGCCATTTGCAACTGTTCGGCCTCGGATCTCACAAAGCCCTTGATTTCTATATTCTATCATCTTCGAAAACACCACCACCACTGCTCTACAACAGCAAATTATTGCTGATTGCATAACTTTTGTCCAATTCTTCAATGAAGATTTTCTAAGTAACTGATTAAATTGCTAAATTGGCCTTCATCGGCTTTCTTTTTCGATTCCCCCCAAAAAGAATTACAGCAGGCGGTGCTTCCTCACTCTCCTTCTGCCTCTATCCTCATAGTCGCAGACGCGATTATATCCTCCACGACTTTCACCAGTAGCAGTTGTTTTATGACGAATACTTATCAAGATTTACGCTTTGCCTCTCAAGAGAGCTCTATTTACAAGATAACAACGCGCATAATATAGATATGGATCGAAATAACAAAGAAGACCGGGCACCACAACATGCGACTGACAGACCGAAAGCCAGTAAATTAAATTCAAGATATAATCCCTTCAGTGATTCAAATCACTTGCCGTCGACTCCTCTGCAATCCTCCAATGCGCATCCTCAGAACCCTGAAGCAAGTGTTGCATCCTCTTCGCGCACAGTAAGAGTAGGTTATCACTTTACAATATCTACCATAAAACTTGAAATTTAAGCTTGCTAATACCTCTCAAGTCCAACAGCAGGTCGATAATCATGGCTCGGGGAGCGTTTTCTAAAGGATTAAATGTATTCAAGGAAAAGGAGTTGACGCAAGGTAACCAGAGCTGGTCAAATGCAGACTTATCTGAGCACCCCATTCCATCTAAGGATAAAGATGAGCGAGGAAGTCTGGATGAGAATTATCAAATGGTGAAGAGTTCGCCTTCCTTGACTCGTAGCCAAGATGCCGCTGCGTTTGCGCCATGGTTATATGGAATCACTCGTAACCAATTACCAGACAGTCATTCACGTGGCTTAAGCGCATATACCAACGATATGGATTCATTTGGCATGGAGAGTACTTATGACGATGGACT